AAGATTTATTTATTTGTGCATACAGAACTGGGTGCGGGCCAGAGGTGCAGGGGGCGAGAGGCTTCACCAGAGACAGAGGGGGAGCAGAACTGAAGTCCCCTGCTGGGGGAGCAGCGGGCGGTCAGGAGAGGTCTGCCGCGCCCTGGGGGTCACCTCCGGGGCGGGGATCGAACTCGCACAGCAGCAGCTGCAGCTCACTTGCTGTGCTGCGTCCTAAGCCGCTGCGCCGCGAGGGAGGGCCCAGAATTACAGTCGTAATTGAATTCAGTCACACCAATTGTCTTAATGAAACTTAGGACGCTGATTGAGGATTTGGAGTGGGGACATTTGAGAAGATTGAAACAAATCTGAGACTCTTGACTCACACATCTTGGGTGCCCTTGCAGAAGCAGCGGGCTCTGGGGAGAGCCGACAAGGGGCCCCCATCAGAATGCGCTGGCTCCTACGAGCAAGACAGGCAGGCAGACGGCCAGGTGTCACGTGACACAGAAGACGACGGGTGAGCAGAACCCGCTGCGCCCACAGTGGGCCGGCGTTCGGCGTCCGTGGATGTCACGATGGGGGGGAGAGCAGTCTCTGAGGACAGGGCGTGCCGGTGACACGGTGCCTGGGGAGGGGCACCGTCCCAGAGGGGCTCTCTGCTCGGGGACAGGCACCACGCGCCTGCTCTCCTGGGAACATAGTTCTGCGCTGACACTAGTCACCGACAATGCAAAATGCCATGGCAGAGTCTAACGGCAGAGGCCACAGTGTGACGCTTCGTGCGTGGTTTTGCTCTCCGAAGTGTCTCGCTCAAGAGCAAACAATCACTGGGCTGCAGGTCGCAAGCCTGCCGTTCCCGGCAGCACGGGCGCCCAGCGAGGAGCCGCCTTGGGGTGCCCTAGGCTGGGTTGAGCAAACAGAGACACACTGAGGGTAATGGGGGTCAGCGCCGCCGGCGCGCAGGGAGCGGCCATGTCTTTACTTTCCCACACACTACACAGGTGGCTAAATTTAGTCTCTCGGGTCCTAAGCACCAGGGGCCCCGCAGAGGCAGGGGAGTCGCCGCACACGGAGGTCACGCGGGCCCGTGGCCCACCTTTAAGCCCCTCTGCGCCTATCGCTCCGACACCAGCCAGTTCCTGCCCCTGTCCCCACCTCTGGCTCAGTATCTTGGGGGGTTGTTTCGTGATGGACCCCGACCTGTTTAAGGGTTACTTTCATGAACAAGGTGGGAGCCAGAGCCCCCAAGCTTGTGTTCAGGACGGATCCCGCACCTGACCCGGTACCAGCGAGGCGCCCCCACCATGCACGGCCGAGGGCCCCGCATGGGACCGGAGCGCAGGCCGGCCCCGCACGGGGACGGGCACTTCACAACTTTGAAGGCGGGGTGCACCCCGAATTAGAAACTCGGGCACGTGGAGCTCGGGGATTGACCAGAACAACCCCCACCTGACAGGAGAGGCTCAGAAGACAGGCCTGGCTAGTGTCCCAGAGCCCCCCAAAGTCTACGCTGGCACTAATTCTAGGCCATAAGGAGGTCGTCCCTTTCAACACGTCTTCTATTCCTTACACGAACTTCTCCCCAAGTGGCAGGTACCTCGCACGCACGTGCCGGGTGCTGAGTGGGCACTTACATCTAGGGGCCACCACAGCACCTGGCAGACCCTTCGCAGACGGAGGCCGGCACCTGCCCAGGCGGGTGGCAGGAGCGACACTCACTTGACCGCACGACTCCTCTCAGAAACCACCACTCCCAGGCAGTTTATCAGCATAGTTTATTTTTATATCATTTTGTGCCTTTTTCCATCTCAGTTGCAATCCCCATGGGCTTCCCACCACCAGACCACCCGTGTGCCCTCACCATAGTCCAGTGCACTTCCCCCACCCTCATTTTTGATCCCATCCCCACTCTACCCCTGTAAAATGTCTCTGGTCTATAGTTGTTCATTATTTTCTCCCCTGGTCCTTTATACTCCACTATGAGTGAAACCAGCTGGTATTTTTCCTTTACTTTCTGGCATGATCCCTTCCAGCTCCATCCATGTTGCTGCCAGCAGGCATGAGTTTATCCTTTTTGACTGCTGAGTAATACTCCGTCATAGCTATGGACCACATCTTTTAATCCAGTCATCTACTTTTGGGCATTTGGGTGTTTCCATGTCTTTCCTATTGTAAATAAAGCGGCAATAAACATAACCCCAGGCAGTGGCCGGGCCCCGTGAAGGGCCAATGCGGACCCTGGCTCCGCGCGAGGATGCAGCCGCGGAGCTCTCGTGGGGAGACGAAGGAGACGAAGGTCCTCGGCCCACGGCCAGACTGGGGCAGCCACTGGGATTCATTTCCCTATCAGCGAACCCCTTGAGCATCCCAGCTTCCCCCATTTCTAAACAGAAGCCTGGCCGGAATGACTGCAAGTGCAGCCCCCGCGTGTACGGGCGCAGCCCAGAGGGGTCCGAGTGGCAAACACCAGCGGTTCTTTTCTAAGCAAGACCCCGGCACCTGTGTGGGTTCTGCCTTTCTAGTTAGGTGCCTGAACTCAGGCCACTGAGACTCACGGCACAGGGTCGCTAGGGCTCCCCCAAAGGCCCTCAACGGGAGCCCAGCTGGTGTCCTCTTCGGGAGTGATGGGCAGGCAGCACTGCAGCAGTCACACTGGACCTCGAGCGCCGCGGTCAGGAGGGCGGCATGAGGGCCCGGGCCCAAGCACATGGCCCGCAGGCCAGGAGGAACCCAGGACCCACGTCCCCGGAGAAACCAACTCGTTTGGGTCCTTTTTACTTTGTGTCAGACCTAACACTGCCCTAGGGCCATTTTCAGGCCCATCCCACCCGCGGAGGACGTCAAAGGGGAAGAGCAGTTTCGGCTGGACACAGCTCCGGTTACCTGCGCAGATCATACGGGCTACACTGAGGACACGGGTGGGCTTCAGCAAGCAGCGCCTTCTCCTGGGGCCAGTAGTCTCGAGCGAGCCTGAGGCCCGTGATCGCTACCCACACGCTCCCCGCTCTGCCACCTGCAAAAGGGAGGTGGCGTGTCCCAGGCCCAAGGGCATCGAGCTGGGAAGAGGCCGCCTCTCGCACCCCAGCACCCATAGGCGGGCTTTCCCTGGGTGCGCCCAAGCCGGCTTGTGTCTTCAGTCCTAAAACATTCTCACTGACGGCTCCCTGGAGGGAAACTCCCTATTGAAGGTGCCGGGTTCCCAGCCCAGAGCTGGCACAGGCCCAAATGCCCAGGCTCCCAGGGCCCTGTGAGCACTGCATCTCCCAGGCAGGCAGGACAAAGCCACCCTCCAGGGCTGGGCCTCTGCCTTGGGTGCGAGAGGCCATCGACTCCAGGCCACGTTCCAAGTGGGATCCCGTCTGGTCTGGCTCCGACTCTGGAAAATGCGAGCCAGCTGCCACCAGGCTCTACATCCCGTCTTTGAAGCACTGAAGAGAGCACTTCATCAGTCACACACAAGACTTCTCATCTCTATTAATAATGCAGAAAGGCATTAAAAGGTTTTGACTTCACCTCATCAGGTATGCCTAACAGGACACAGACTACAGCAAACAATGACATTTCATGATAAACTTGATATGAAAAACTTGTGACCAACATTGAACCAAAAAAAGGGTCACGTTGCCCTTAAAATTGTGGTTTCCAGATGCACTGGACTGTGGTGATGGCACACAGGTGATTTGGTGGTGGGAAGCCCACGGGGATGACAACTGAGATGGGAAAAGGCACAAAATGATGCAAACAAAAAGCTATTTTTTTTAAAATTGTGGTTTCCAATAATTTACCGGTGAAATCAAATGTGGGCTGCCTATGTAATTTTCACAAAATAGTTGCCCTCAAAGAATATTTAACGTAATGTCCGAAGTAGCCTTATCCGCCTCACTGAAGCTTCTCTCCCCCCCACATGCCCACTGCAGTGGGCGCGGCTCTCCTCCCAAGCAGGAAGGGGAAAGGCAGAGGCCGTGTCCCCAACTCCACGAGCCTGTCTGGGTCTGCGCAGCTTACAACAGTCACCAAAAAGATGCGAAGTGATTTCTTCGCTTAGGTCAGAAGAGGGGATTCAGCCTTTGCCTGTTTTGGGGGTGGGGGGGGGCCAACTCCACAGAAGCAGCCCACCACTCTGCAGCTACCATCTGGGGAATCCACCAGCCTTCGGCCCAGCTGAGCTCCCAAGGAAGTCAACCATGCGGGAGCGCCACGTGGCCAGCCAACCCGGCCGCCCCAAGATCGCAGCCCCACCGACAGGTGAAGCCCCACCCGGCCGGGCCTTCCCAGTGCCTGACTCAGCGTCACGTGAAGCGGGTGTGGGTGCTGAGGACGATCCTTACCTCGCGCAGCCTCAGCCACAGGAACACCAGCACCCACAGTCTGGGGCAAGTCTCCATCATCACCATCTGGTGGAGGCTTGTTTCAGTCTGAGTTCAAACAACCGTGAACAAACCATGGACAAAGCAAACACTTCACCGGTGAGGCAGCACTGAGAAAAGCTGGAAGGAAGTTTACAGAATGCGATGGAGAACATGGTGGCTGGGAGTGGGGGTGGGCAGAGGAGGTGAGCGAGCCCATGGATGGAGCCAGGCCTGCCCAGCAGCTCCCCAGGCAGAAGCCAGCCTCTGCTTCGGTGAACCGGAGTGCCCGCGGCTGAAGAGGCTCTGCCTTCTCTGGCCGGCCCAAGCCCCCTCGAAGCCGCGTCAGTCACCCCGTGTGCACCCCCGCAAGGAGCGAGCGGCGGGCTGGCTGGGAGGCCCAGGCGGCTGCGGAGGCAGAACCCGGGTCACGTCTGAGGTGGGGGCAGTGCCGGGCCACAGGTCAGCAGAAGGAACAGGCCGAGGAGAGACAGCTGGTCACACTGAGCACATCTGCCTTGACCTCTGTGCTCAGATACAGCCGCCAGTGTCCCCCAGTGGGCCGGGAAGGCCCCGCCACGTGGCGCTCACACGTCTGGGCGTGTCCACGGAGCAGAGAACGCAGCGGCGAGGACCGAGGCGCGCTCAGACAGACCACCACCAGGTTTATTTAAGTTCTTTTTATTTTCCTCCACACTGGCAAAAGTTCCAAGGGAGATTAAAGTTTTGTAAACATTTTAACTATCCCTCTTCCCCACCCCCCACTTTTGAATTTACAAAGCAAAGGAGAGCAGGAGTCCAATTTTTAATGGTTCCCACCTCCTCATGCTATTTGATCCAAAAACTATATACACGTTTGTAGCAGTCTCTGTATAGTTATTGTACATGTCCAGGGGCACGAAGGGACAGGGAGAACGCTGACCCGAGAGAGTAAAAACAGAAACCAAAAATAACCACCCAAACCCAAACTGCTCAGAGCCACGCCAGCCTTCTCCCGGCAACGAGGAGGGTGCGCTGCCCAGGAGCCCCCCGAACCCCAGTGCTTCTCATGGGGATGCTGGCCCATGGCTCCAGACCAAAGTGACTGGCATCCCAGGCGATGGCCGCGGGGCAGGTGAAGGTAGGAAGAAAGCAACTGTCTGTAAGTAGGGCTGAACACGGCTCTCTGATGGGGGGGGAGGGGGCGCGAAGGCCCCGGCCTGAAGCCAGAGCAGGCTTCCCGCTCCCACGCTTCCCAGCCCACCACCCACTGCATTCGCCTGTCTAGTGGTTTCCATGGATGAAGGTGGTCTTAGAGATGGTGAGGTTTTAGAGGTTCTCTTTTCAGAGAAGGCAAGCAAACTGCCATCCTGGAATCTTTGACAAAACCTTCTTGGGGCCACAGCAAGACACACACACAATGCTCTGAGGAACCAGATGAATTTCCGGGCTTTTATCAGAAGCAAAAGTTTATCCCTATCCAAATGAAATTATACAAATTCATACATATGGTAAAGATCCTAGTTGCCTCTTAAACGAGACAGATTTTCAGCAGAAAGGCCCAAAACAAACTGGTCCTAGTCCTCTGAAGTAAAAATATTTATGGGAAAAATCAGTTTTGTAAGAAAGAAAAATCGAGAATAAGTCCCTCTCCCAGGCCACAGGGTTTCCTTTGTCCATCGGGCTGGAGAACACCAGGGAGACATCAGCTCACATGGATCCTTTCTCTGAAAGGACGCTCAGAAAGAACAGGCCAGGTCGTGCACATCAACCAAACCGATCTCACCCACCCCTAAGGGCTGCGGACGCAACCCCAAAGTCAGCAGCGGCTCGTGCCTAGAGGGAGGGCTCTGCCTGCCTCCGCTGGCCACTCTGGCCACGGTCTCTGGGCGTTCTGCTGCTGGCCGATGTCTATTACCATTAACTCTCTTCATGATTGCACCAGTTAGACCCCTGGCCCTTAAAGGGGTACGTGGGGGGTGGGAGGGGGGAGAAGAATATTTTTAAAAAGAAAGAAAAAAGTGACAAGAGGAAGTAAATTGCTATTGGCAGAGCCCAACACACTTTCTGGGAGACAGCAGATGAAATCAGGGCACAGTGAACACGTGCTGCCCAAAGTCAGCTTGTTGGGGGGTGAGCCCAACTGCCACCCCCGAGAGGAGAGTCTGGCCCACTCGTCTACCGTCTGAGGTGCCCACCAGCAAAATGGCCTCAAGGACCCTGGACACAAGGGCTAGAAGGAAAAGCCTGAGATGATGGTTCTGTGATTTGCTGCGGAGATAAGAGAGGAAATGTGAGGAGGTGTTGCGCCCAAAGGTGGAGAGTCCGCGGTCAGCAGAGGAGCGGGCGGGCCAGTCCACTGGCGGGGGCTCAGTAGTCATCCAAAGTCTCGATCTCACCCATATTGAGCCGCTCTGATGAGGCGTTGACTGAAAACCCTGCAGGAAAAGATTGGCAATGAGTCACGGCACCCAGACGCCACGCAGCTCCAACCCCAGGTGGGGGCTCTACCCCGTCTCTGGCCTCAGGGCAGGTCACAGGGACACTAAAGGGAGGGACAAGAGAGAAGGGTGAAGGCCAGAGCGGTGATCTTCCTGCCCTTCCTTTCTGAATTTGTTTTGGTTCTTAAGAGTTCTGGTGTAAATTAAGTCGGAGGTGGGAGGGAAAAAAACCTTCCATCAACGGCTTAAAAAGGACCGAAAACTATCACCTTATAGAATCCTGAGAGGAACTTAGGTCTAAGTGTGTGTTCAGGCCAGAATGGTGGGGGCCAGGGGAGTGCTTCAGAAGGGGCACCTTAAAAGAAAGGCAGGTGGGGGAGAGCAGAAACTCCGCGCTGTGGCGAGTCACAGCGAGTCGGCGGCGGGGTACGCTCAGGCAGCCCCACTTGCTCCTGGGAATGCGTCCCTGCTTGCGTCAGACGCCATATGAGAGTTCTGGCCAGAGCTTTTGCTGTCTGGAGCAGGTCTGAGGACCACAGGCGTTGATCACCTGTCTGCCACACAGCAGTACAGCACAAAAAGATGAAAGTCTCTTCTTGAATGCAGTCTGCTGAGGAGACTGAGCGCCACCGGCAGCGAAGGTGAACCGAGTGGGTTCTGTTTTAGCAACAGCAGCACTAACTTCTGCACTGTCAGCAGCACGCAGCACTCACAACTACCTGCCGTTAGCCACATGTGTGGAGCTTCTCAATAAAGGCCATAGTCAGAGACTGATTAAAAGAAGGAAATCATTAATAGTGCCTGCCTCTTTCTGGGAGGAACTCCCCAAAAGCTTTCAGTTCATCCACCCTAAATAAAATCTCGGACTGTTTTAGCTGCTATTTGAACATTCAAAAGTAAACAGGCAATGTTTCCCAGTCTAAAAGGGGCATTGATAGTGAGTTTTCATCCCTCCATTTTGTTCTTTAATTTTCAAGGTTTCAAAGACACATTTTAAAGTACTACTACTAATAAGCAAAAATGCTTCACATTAATAAAAACAAGTTAATTATACTCTTGACTCAAAAGCAGCAGGACCTGACAAGGAACATGCCTCCTTGCTAGGGACTGTGGTACAAGCCGCTTCCGAAGCCCAGCCCTGGGAGAGGCGAGGGCGCCGCAGTCCCGCCTGAGCTCTCTCTACCCACCTACAGCGCTCCCAAAATCCACAACGTCTTTCCCTGAAAATAATGAAAGGCTTAGTGTTCATTTTAAAATAACGGCTTAATTATGTAAATATAAAAACCTAAAGCCCCAAAAAGTCTATGAAAAGAGCTATTACTCTATCCTGAGGCAGGTTTTATTTTCACTTCACAAATAACAACAGACTAAATGTGACAAAAACAGCGAGCTGCGTTTAATAGAAGTAGAAATTAATAAAAACAAACCACATTAATTTCAATCAGGCAAAGACAGGAATAAAAAACCTGGGGCAAAAAATTACTCATAATGTTGACTCCTGAGCTAAGCTTTAGCAGACACAGTCTCCCTTAACTGTCCTTAACAGCTCAAGGTGGAGGGGTGTGCTTAAGTAAAAGCACCGGGCTTTCCGAAGGACAGTAAAGCCTCACAGAGGCAGCACGTTTGGTTCAAACAAATGACCGTGTCCGGCAGGCCCAGCGAGCCCGGGGAGACGGCTGGGCCGGAGCACACAGCCCACCCTCGCAGGCTGGGTCACCGTGGCAAGTGTGAGGCTGCAGCCACGCCAGTGCCCAGCGACGGGCGAGAGGAGACGGCAGCAGCCGGGCTCCCTCGGCGCGTCTGTGCAGGAGCAAAGTCCTTCTGGTCAAGGGCTGCTTGTCAAAAGTTGCCTTTGGGCCAAACTAGAAACTGTTTTCCCACTCTGTACGCAAACCCCTAACTGATGGGTATTTAAAATTTTTTTCAATCTGCAAATCAAAAAGGCACACAGAGCAAAACTGGAAAATAGAAAATGGTAGGTAAGATGCAGACACAGCAGCTGTCAGAGGAAGGTTCCCCTGACAAGTAACTGCCACTAAGCTGTCCAAGAGCCGACGCGGGTGAGTTTCTTCAATATCTTCTTGAGCAGATTTACGTACCTTTTTTTTTTTTTAACAATATAATAGCTTATTTTTCCATCATTTTGTGCATTTTTCCATCACCAAGTCACCCTGTGCCATCACCACAGTCCAGTGCACTTCCCCCCTCCACCCCCAGTTTTTTGATCCCATTCCCCACTTGGCCCCCGTAAAATGTCTCTGGTCTATAGCTGTTTTTTACTTACCTTTTATTTATTTATTTTTTTTCCTTCCCCTTCAAGATGCCTTCCCTAAACCCCTTCCTAGAATAACCTGCCTCTTGTTGCCCTGAAAGGAGACTTTAGGTCCCTTCCTTTCCAGCTCTGTTAACAGGAGATGGGGTCAGATCAAATACCGAATACAGAGCACGTTACCTCACGTCAGAGGCCTCATCTTCCCCGACCACCTGCCTACAACTAGAATTTAAGGGACATTTTAAAATCTATATTCACCTATTTTCTGCCCAAAGTAGATACATTTTTGACTGTTCCATCCGTCCGTGACATAAATTCCGAGAGGCAGAGCGGACGGTTCACCGCTCTCTGGCCCCGGAGCGGGTGCGCGGGTGCGTGGGCGCCACGCGCCACCCCCCATGGGAGGGTTCTGTTAGCGGCACTTTGTGCTGCCCTGGACAGGAGGCCTCTGCCGCGAGCACAGAGCCACCAGGCGCAGCATCGGGCTCCAGCCCAGCCCCGGACCATCGGCTCCCACTGAGCGTCCCCCCCACACCGGCACTGACTCGGCTCCCTGCGCCAGCGCCGCCCTAATGCTGCAGCTCATGGAACTCCGCCTCACCTCTGCCACTGAAACTACCCCCGGCCACCGTCTCTTTCCCAGGTCCACGCCGTGCCCGAGTGGCCTGGCTCCCGGCTGGGCCAACGTGATCATTCTATTCCGACAGCGGGTTTTACAACGGCCCATGTGACACCCACACACAAAAGTTGTTTTAATCCCATCACTGTCTGTGAGGCTGTCAGGCCACTCTAAGGAGTACATGCAACTGAGTGGCTTACAAACATCTCTCCGATCTAGAAGCACCAGTCCCTCTCCTTCTAGCCAGTCTTTCAGAACGCCAGTTCAGCTGTACCCCTCTTCCAATGAAGCTGCTCATCATGAACACAATGGTTCTCAATGCTGAACAAAAAGAGCTGCTACCATGCAGATGGAAAGAAAACTGGCCTGCCGGAAAAGCAGCGCCCACTGGGCAGCCATGTGACTCGGGAAATGTTCTAGGCCGCGAGCCTGGGCTCGCTCCCTAGTGAAACTGGAGCAACCAATGCAGAGTGATCCTAAGGGTCACATGACACACACAAAGGAAAGTAGCAAGTATTCGTTCTTTTCTTTCAATGCCTGACTGGATTTATAGTCTGCTTCCACATATAACCAGCATGTAGTATTTTACGCAACTTTTACTATTCTCCCTTAGCATTTTCTGTCAACAAAACTGAAAGGGTTTCTAGGGAAGCTCATATTCAGTGTGAGACACGGCCTTAACGTTTGAAACACCACCAGAAGTTGCTGTTACTTTTCTTATTCCTCATAGCACACAGAGCCCAGCTCTTGTGCTGATGACTTATTCTGAACAGGATAAAGAGACTATGGCCGTATAAGGAATATTCCCCTCTAGGATAAACCTCCCATGACGGGCTTACGCACAACAACTGCTGTACCTGCCCTCCCCTCCCCTCAAGTGGAGGCCTGTACCCACCTAGCAAGCTGGGGTCTGCTCGGACCATCTTCTGCTTTTTCTTCTTCTTGCCACTTTGCACAGCCTCAAAGTTGGATTGTTGGTTGTTGCTTTGATTGGTCTGAAATACTGAATGGAGTGCACTGTGGTTCATCCCCCACACAGAGTCCTGTGAAACAAGATGGCGCAATTGAGGTCACACGCAGAAGGCCCAGCCCAGCCTAGACAGACGGTTCATGTGCCCTTACCTTGTTGATGTGTTTAACACAGAAAGCCCGTCAGGATCCTGGTAATAGTGAAACTACGACAGCCACCGAACCCCTCCCACACACATCATCTGCTTAGATGCCCATCTCAGCTCTGTGCCTCCAAGGGCTGCCCACGTGCAGCGCAGCACACTCTGGCACAAACACGTCTGCCAGCCCAGGAGTGCAAATACACTGCAACTCTTCGTTCACACTGCTTGGTTCAACATCATCTCATTATAAGGTTGATGAGAAGAAAAGAAAAAGATTTCCGGCAGGAGCGTCTGTCCGCGTGGAGCTGACGCAGCTCTCCACACTGTGTGAGAGATGTGCACGAGATTCTGTCCCAGTCTGAATGAGTGTGAGTGCAAGAGAGACTGCACACCCTCGCGCCCTGGGACGGCAGGGGACTGCTCAGGGCTGGCTCCTGCTGAGGTGAAAGGGGGCTGGAAAGCGAATGGACGAATGTTGGAAGGCTTAACTGAGGAGTCTGAGGATGTTTTTTTGGACCCATGTATGCTGTAGGAACATGTAACTCTTGTTTTTATCAAGTAGCCTTTGGTAAACCTGGCTCCATTATATCCTACTTCACTGACAGTTTCTAAGAACCCATCAAAGACGTTAGGCGGGGACTTCCCGTACAGCAAATAATCACACATCACTCTGTGTGCCGACAGCTCATAACGCTCGCCTACCCAGAGCACACGAGTCCTGGGCCCTGAGGCCGGGCGGCAGGATGCACAGTGCCTAGCAGCACGTCATCGAATACAAGGAATGAAAGTTCTTTATCCCTGGCAGCAATCTCAGAAGGGGTCTGGCGGCACAATATTAGCCGTAACCTCCTGAATGATTAAGCGGCAAGCCTACCGACACCCACACTACTGCCATGAGCCAGTGCAGGCCTGGTATGGGTGTGGTGGAGTGCAGGCGGCACAGTGCAAGGACAAGTGAAGTCACCCTCCAGCACACGCACACCCCACCCTCCACCCTTCCACTGCGGCCCAGAGATGGCCACTTCACAAACATGACATGGCTTGTGCATTGCTCCATGCCGTCTGCTGCTGTGAATCCTTAGAATATTTTTCCTAAAATATTTTTTAGGATTTTAGGGAAAAAACATTTTCAAAAGAATCTCCATGTTTTTGTCTTTCATACTCCTCAGTCGACCCTCACCCCCCAGCAAATGGTCTTTAAGTGCCACCTTGTACCCCTCCCCCAGCTAATCTACCCCAGAAACGTTGCCTGTGACAGACACACACTCTCTCTCTCTGGTACACAAATCATGGGATTAAAGAACAGGAATGTTCTGAAGCTTCTCAATGAGTAGCGCCGTGTTTCCGAAAACTTGCACAATCGAGCCTTGCTACTCCCATACCCCATGTTTCGGGGCTCTGCTTACTGCACATTCACGTGGTGAGAGGGAAGAAGGCTGAACTGGCCTAGCTGAGGGAGAACAGCCTCACCCTTCATGATGCAGAAATCCATTTTGGGGGTTGACTTACTGTGATGTTTTCCACATTTTTGTGCTTTGGGGGATAATTTCATTGTTTTAAACTGGCCCAAGAATTAAGGGGTCTATGTTCCTAAGCACAGATGGCTGTGACCTATGTTATGGAGAAGACACTGCTGCCCATGAGTTCAATATACCAAAGAAACGCATCTTTATAAACACACACACACACACACACACACACACGGAATGAGATTACGTGTTAACTGACTAAAAAATATTGTGAGACAGGGGTACATAGGACCCTAACCCTTTATTTTCCTAAAGAGCAATGGCTCAGTGTTTGCTGATTCAGCATTTTCTAGTGGCGACTACAGACCACACCCATCAAAATGTCCAGAACTGATGGCGCCTTGGGCCTTCCCGTTAGCAGTGGATGGAATGCCTGGTGTGCAGCGGTGTTTCCAGCAGGGTGCAGGGTGCAGCGGTTACTGAGCACTGGAGACTTCATTGCTTCCAGCTATTCAAAGTCAAATTTATGGGTTGGGAGCAAGTTGGCACTTATAATTTGACTGAGGCAATATATGAGCCAAGACAGACAGGGCTAGTGTGCCCACAGAGAATGAGCAGCTGTATTTGCTACTTGGAAAGTTCACCAAGGCCTCTGGGCATGTAATATGAAAATATCAGATCTGGGCCCTCCCTGGTGGCGCAGCGGGTTAAAGCACAGCACTGAGAAGCTAAGGCCACTTCGCATGAGTTCAATCCCCGCCTGCCCTGGAGGAGATCCACATGGCGCGGCAGACTTCTCCTGACCCGCCCGCTGCTCCCCTCGGCAGTGGACTTTATCCATCTGCCTGTTCTGCTCCCCACTCTGCCCCTGGTGAAGCCTCTCACCCTCCACATCTCTGGCCTGTACCTCAGTTCTGTATGGATAAATAAATCTTTCAAAAAAAAAAAGAAGATATCAGATCTACCACATTATTAAACAGCTCTGGTCCTCCAGTGGACGAAAACGAAACCTCTGCCTTAACCTGCAGGTATCCTGGCTGCCCAACCCTCAGGTATTCAAGCTCAGGGCGCTGCACTCTCTCTGCTGCCTCCTACCTGCTGCTGCTGCTGCTGCTGCTGCTGTTGCTGCTGCTGCTGCTGTTGTTGTTGTTGCTGCTGCTGCTGCTGCTGCTGCTGCCTCTGGTTGGCTTTCTGTTTGGCACGGCGCTCAAGGAACTGCTTGGCAAACTCCTTGGCCTCAGAGGTATCCCCTAAATAGGCCCTAATATAATCATGGACCTCATAAGGAGATTCTACTTCTTTCAGGAAAGAAACAAATGTGGGAACTGCAAGATGAGAAGAGAAGACATTAAAGTAACAACGAAATCACATACAAAGACACTCAGTTCCAGTTTTTAATATACGGCCACACCTAACACAGATATTAGTGATGGAAACTGGAAAGGCACACAGCTAGTGTGCTACAAATTCTTTAACTACTCTGTAGAGATGAAAAATCCCACTGTGACTGCAATGCTCAAAGCTGAGAGCACCTAGGGCCCAACACAGGCAGATCACACGCATTTATTCTCACTAAGCATTATGCTGGTAGAAACTAAATGTTAATTGGGAAAAAATTGCTTGCCCAAGACAGAAATAATTAAGGGATTCATTCTTTCTTTTCCTAAATTGAACCAGCACTTATTAAGTGTTAGGATACACTTCACTGAAATACCATGTGTTTAGAAATCAAATGAAGCGCACACGCAGTGTGGTGTCTGAGAAGAGCAAAAGTGTCAGCGTTAGACAGACATGGGTTTAAAGCCTGACTCTGAAATCTGCTGGCTGTGTGACCTTGCTGAGTTCCTTGACCATTCTGAGCCTCCATTCCCTGATTTATAAAATGGGGTGACATCACATACACAGCAAAGGTGTATGATTGCTTTACTGTTGAGAAAGTAAAAGGAACTGGGACAGCACATTCATCCCTAGAAGTGCCTAGCACATGGCATGTGCTTAATGGATGGTAGTCACTACTGTTGTTTGCTAGTGTTTTCTCTGGCTCTTTCAGCAGACATTGCTATAATGCTGCAAAGGAATCCTTCAATTCACCCACTGCTCTGGTTTTCAAAGATTGCCAGTTTGAAATGTGACATTAGATGGGGGCCAGTTCAGCTCAATTAGGAGATCCCTCCCACACCAACCTGACCAGCCTCTATTCAAATATTTGGGGGTGGGGTAGGCTCACTCCCTCACTAAGGCAGCTAACTCCCTTTGTGACCAGCTAACAGCTGCTGTCGCATGGCACTGAAAACGTCCCCTTCCACAGTGGTCGGTTTGCCCTGATTTTATGCTGTCACATGGTTTCCGTCCCGCCCCAAAGGCAGGAAGGGAAATATCTCACATCACCTCAGGCTTCTCTAGCCCAAGCTGACCTCTGGACCCACCACGATAACTGCCACCTTCCTTTAGACTTGGTCCAGCTAGCACTGTCCCCCCGAGTGAGCAGTATGGGACTATGACCTCCTCTGTCCTGTGCATCATGAAGCCGCCTGCAACAGCATTTACTTTAGCAACGACTGATGGCCTGTTGTGGCACAGCATTACCGGACCTTGTCACAAGCAACACCACGATCCTAAGGAGTCAAGCTCTTGACCAGCTGCTGCGGGACTGGGCCTCCGTCAGATTTCACCTCCTAAGGTCTGCCCCATAATTCCAATTTGCCAGCCTCTTTGCGGACGGTCCTGCTCTGCCATCCCACATGCTGGGAGCCCTCCCCAATTCTTACCATCCAAGTTATTTGCCGTATTAAGGGCATGAAGCATCTGTTCACACCATTGGGTAAATCCATCTTGGGCTTTATTTACTCCCTGAAAGAGCTTCAGCAACTTTTCTTCTTCTTCTACTTTCTTATTCTGCCGGTTAGACACACCTACAGATTTACTAAAGCAAAACAATAGGGCGATATTATATTCCCAGAAACTGTTACTATATGATTATACTAAAACACCATAAAGAGATAATGTCTTGGCATCACTGGATGGTTGTCCAGTAATCCAATGCTTGGCTCCAAAAAAGAAAAAAAATTTCAAATATTTGGATTTGAGAGATTATTCAATAGCCCCTTAAAATCTAACCTCAGCTACGCCATTCCAGTTCTGAATTCAAGACTTCTTTTCAGAGAAATGGTTAAATTTTTTCTATGTGTCCTTCAGTAAGTCTTTAAATTTTGCTAAGCCTCAGTTTCCTCATCTGCAAAATGGTGCTCATATCTCTTTGGGTCACCACAAAGAGAGCTCTTGGGCACAAGGCCTGGGCGCAATGCCAGGCAAGGCGCTCCACAGCTCATGGGCACTCAGCATCCTGCTCGGAATCTGCTTGGCCCTCAATCAAGAAGAAAACAACCTGACAACACTACCATGTATTAAGGGAATTACTATGTGCCAGGCACTTTACTAGCTACTTCCACGGATTATTTACTCTCACAACCACACCCATGAAGCTGCTGTCATCTTCATTTTACAGATGAGGGAACTGAGGCTCAAAGAGGTTCCCTCTTGCCCAAGGTCACACAGCTAATGAGTGGTAGTGCTGGGAATTGTGTTCAGAATATTCAACACTAAAACCCATGCTCACTTAACAACACTGTATACTGGCTGAGCAAAGAAAGATGAAGGTGAAATGCAATTTATCATACAAATAAACAGGCTGCAGGTCATTACAGAGGTGTTTATAATACTCATTACAGTATAAAGTAACCTATAAACTCAGGAACAAGCACTAAGTTAAGATCTAAGGACTACTTTAGAGGAATGCTCAACAACAGACACATCGTTTCCCTAACAGTTACTAAGCGGTCACTATGTGACAGGTAAGGAGAGGTGCCGAGCAGGAGACACCCCTTCTAATGATACAGATGTGCTTCCGCAGGGAAGAAGGCAATCGTCAGTCTGTGACTTCGCGTGTTTACACACAGATCAAAATAAACAAGCATCAAACATCTTTTCCAAATGCCCCTCTCCCCAACCCACCAAGGAGCATAAAGTTGATCATCTTTGAACCCTACCTGAGACTGGCGTTGTTCTTATTTTTATTTGTTGAATTCCTAGGTCCCACCTCTTTGGCTGCGTCATCCCAGAATCCCATGTTGGAATTTTTAGTGTCGGCATTACTCCAGATGCTACTGACTAGGTCAGATGCCCACTGGTTGGGGGGACCAGTATTTATAGAGCCCCAAACAGAATTCCCAATGCTGGTATGCAGGTTGGAATGCTGTTAAAGAAAAAGAAACAAGTGATCAGGGTTAACAGCACAAGGATGAGGAGAGCCCGCCAAGTCGGCGAAGAGGGCTGTGGAGAGCAGCGGACAGGGAGGCTCAGGGGGACGCCCACCGCGTTACTCCGGGCTCGGCTCGGCTGCTGGTGCTGCTGCTGGTGTTGCTGCTGCTGCTGCTTCTGCATCTGCCTGGCTTCTTCCTGTTGTATCTCCAGAAGAGACTTTGTAGTACCTGCGGGTTTGCTGACATTGCCCCAACCCGAGAGCTTCTGCTGCTGCTGCTGCTGCTGCTGCTGGAGAGCTTTCATCAGTTCCCTCTGCTGGCGCCTTTGCTGTTGCACAGAAACAGAAGCTAAGTCAGAACTCCGGTTTTTAAGACGTTAGCAATATCCAGTGTGCTAAACAGAAAACAAACACACAGCACATTTCTCTAAAATTAATACCCGACAGAGTTAACTTCTTGGCTGCCAATAAAGATGTAAACTGCCACAAGATTAAGAAAAGAATTTAAAAATGCAGAATTAATCTTTAAAATTAAGCAAGGCTCTTGCGTAAACACAGAGATGGTGTACATGTGTACAGTGTTACTTCCTAAAGCCCTACCAAGATGACAGAACACATACATACATGTGTGCACGTAATTTTACATATTACACGCGCACGTGTGTGTGTGTGTGTGTGTGTGTGTGTGTACACATACAAGCATAAACCCAGTAAGAACAAAGAAAACAGATTTTAACAGTTGGAAAAAAACAATACTAATAGTCAAATGTAATAGACCCAGTAAGTGGAAGCCTAAGTAAAGAAAGCTCAGAAACTGGTAAATTCATACAGAAAGTTCAGGTATTAATGGTGTGGGGACCTCAGTCAGAAGACAAGTAGCTGAAATTCCAGAAAAATCAGAGCAAGACCCCAGACTGCCTCCCTCGCCCATGCAGCTCAGTGGCTCTCTCTCTCCCCGGCAGAAAATTAAAGCTTTCTTCCTTAACGGAGCTGAGTCAGACCGGTCGTCTACTCTACGAGGAGAAGGCAGATACACCGATATGGGGGCTCCCCGCCAGGGACTGCTGTGTCCAGTCCACCAGATGCTTTTCAGTGCCTTACTACTAAATATGAATGAACAGTCCAGAAGCAATAAATACTGGGCGTAATAAGCTTCTAAGATGAAAGCCAGAGACCAAATCAAACAAAATGCAGTAGAAACAAACAAGACAGGGAGAACAGGAGCTAGATTTTTTAAAAAGTCATTAGTAAGTAGTAGTTAGGGTTGGCTGCAGCTTTGATGAAAGAATAAGAGGCTATATGAGGAGACACTGAGAACAAAATAAGGACTCAGAGAAACTGGAGATGGTATACATAAGGCTTCTAATAAGATGGAGGAAATAACCCACGTCAAAAAGGAATGAAAAGATGGAAAGAGGAAATAGGAGAGAAAATATGAGAACCCAAACTCAGTCTGGAAGGGTGGCCCGGATGAGACAACGACAGGGAAGGAACCAGGAGCTGTGTCGTGGCCTGTCCAGCCCAGCACTGGCTGAGGACCCAGGAAGGTCGCTCCGCGAGTCTGAGAGGGATAGAGTGAGAGAATGAAATCGAATTATCTTCAGCTCCCTGTGTAGGAATACCTACTGAGCGGTCTTTGGTACCTCTTTGAAGAGTACAAGACACCTGAATAATAGTTCAAAGAAAATTAATCACATAAAAATATAATGAAGTGATTACGAACTTGTAACGGACATATAAGGACCATAATTAATACTTTCTTATTCAGCAGATATCAAAATTATTGGAATGATTTCTAGCCCCAAAGGCAGAAGATACATTGTTCTGCATCAGTTTGTTGATAACCTTTTAGAAAACTGATTTCAGCAAGTTTAGTCTCTCTTGTTTTTAAAGAGAGTGGGGGAAAAAGGGCAATTTTTAAGGTGAAGAGCCTTTTTAACCTACTGGTGAGCCACCCACCCAGATCCAAAACTTGCATTCTTTAACAAATCAACTGCTCTGCTCAAATCATATCCAGAAAAGGCTCCTTCTTCAGAACTGCCACCTCACGCTCCTTCTCAGAGAAGCCTTCCCAGAAAGCCTCACATAAGTTAGGTGACCACAGACTACCACCACCAAAACACCCAACTCCTACCTCCTTTCCAGTTACTTTTCTCTCTCTGGCATTTAACACCTTCTGATATACCACATATATACACTGATTTTTGCTATCTATCTCCTTTCAACCACAGGGTAAGTTATAGGAGAGCTGAGCGTTTTGTCTGTCTGACACTTAGCAAGCACCTCCTAGGCAAGCACATGGCTGTGGGTGGGTGGGTGAACGTCGCGGCAATAGCACGCTTGAACAAACTACTTGACGTAATCATTTCCTGCGGTCATGAGCTGCTGTCTTCCTTTCCACCTCTCTGACTCCTATCTTTTCTATTCAAATGATGACCTAAAGAATATAGACTACAAGCAGAGGTTCTTTGTCACTATTTTACATGTTGCTAAGCTAGCCATAAAGTTCAATATCCCCTAGAGAAAAATGTATTCTACAATCTAAAAATCAAATTTACAAAAGGGCATTTGCACAACATCCGCCCACAATTTTGAAAGTCTCATGCACTTTTATTATTTGTGATTTATCCTCTCAAGAGCTACACTAACAATGTTTAGGGTCACAGAACATCATCTTCATTTTAGTGATGTACCTAACAGATTCTTCACTTTGCTAGAGCAACCACGCTATAGCCTTAAGAGTTTCACAGTGAGCATCTAACACAGACACAACAGCAATTCTGACAGTAGTTATTTTTACTAACCACTAATCCAAAATGCACAATGGCTACTCCAGGAAACTGTCTGATTAGAGCATTTTCACTTTTAAAATTTACCTCTTCTCGAAGCTGTCGTTCTCGTTCCTCTTCTAGTTTTTGGATTTCAGCCAATGACAGTGTTGCCTGGGACTGACATGCTGTTGTATTGGACTGCTGGCCCCAAGTTGAAGAAGAGGGAAGCTAACGGGAAGACAGAAGCATTCATGAGGAAACATGGAAACAGAGGCCGCGATGCCTTGCACACAGCCAGAACATTCGTGTTCCCTCCAACCTCACTTACAACTTACCACTCAAACATCTCTTTTTGAATCCTTGTACATACTATTCCCCCAGTTTGTTTGCTGCTTTTACATTTTTTTGTCATTACCTCACCCTAACATTATTTAGAAGAACTTAAAATACACACAAGACACTTTTATTTGATCACCATTTTGGAAATGCAAGTATGTCACAGCCGGCATTGAAGCATATAGGAAAATAAAGACGTAAGAAGGAAGAGTAAACAAGAGTCGCAAATGTTAAACCCAAGTATGCAATAAAGGAAGTAACATGCTACTTTCCAACAAAGGGTTAAGGAGACTGTCACTGGTAACTCGGCTGCAGTGTCCAGTCATGAGCACTAAGCTTTTATTAAATAAACAAATCTACGTTTCTCCTGAACTTACTAACGTAGAATGGATCCTGAGCACTTTCATGCTCCCAAAAGCCTGGTTATTCTAAGAACTTTCTTTGGTCTTCTGGGCCAAGAAAAATAATTTGGAGCTGTCTTATGGTTCTGAAAATCAAGCAAATAAAAATAACAAACACCAAATCTAGCTAGGTTTAAAATGTTTCATAAAAATAACCCACGAGCAAAAACAAAATGCCAAACAGACCAGCACCTCTACTGAGCACTCTCAACGCTACTGAATATATGATCCTTAACATTTTTGATCAGTATAATCGGTGGCAAGGACAGTTCTCTCAAAATGTACCTCTGCTGGGGTGGGGAGAAGGTGCAGCAGAAAGCTAAGAAAGAAAGATGGGGGTCTCAAGAGGCAAACTTGAGCGCTCTTTCTCCACAGGAAAGGGTCTCCCTGGAAGGTACTATCCAGGTCGTGTAAGGCAGCACAGTGAGTTCAAATCTGCAGCATCACTGGAGAAAATGTGCAGACCCTGCCTCCACTTCTGGTGAGTCAAAGGAGGTAAAAGGTGAAGTGGAAAATGTGCATGTTTCTGTAATTCCGATGCACATAATCAGCCATTACTCCTGGTGCTGCCTAAAGACCCCAGCAGGCTCTCTGCCCCCGGCCCTCTGTCCCTCTGGGCACCAGCCCCCAGTGTCCAGCAGTGCCTCGGCCAGTCCCAGCAGCAGACACTGCCTCCTGAAATGGCCTCTCCTGTCAGGCGCCTCAAGGCCCTTCTCACTGCTTAGCCAAAATACACTTCACTGTACTTTTTCACTCATGACTCATGGGTCTGCTCTCTGGAGTAATGCAGAACAAATCTAGGTCTTCTTCACATGACACACAAGTGTCTGCAGATAGCTATCATTTTCGATAAGTCTCACTTGTACAAAGGAAATAATATCCCACTGCTCTGTCAACACTGCCTCAGGACATTTTCCAGTGCAGCCCACATCTACAATGCCCACTCAGAGAGCTGCAGTTTGTCAATTCTGCTCTTCAGTACAATCCTCTCCCCTATCAGAAGCAGAGAGGAGTCTGGCACATTCTGTGATCCCTAAATCCTAATGTCTTTCCTTCATCAGTAGGAATAAAGATTACTCTTTTCTCTGCCCTGACATTGTTACCTCACTTTTCAACATTATTTTTAAGAGTCTCATTTCCAGTATGTCAGTGTGAGGAACTCTATAGAACCACTCCCCAATAAAACTGGTGACAGTTTTTTTAAACCACACAAAGCCCCTGAGGGTATATGGCAGATGAGGAAACATTTCTTTGAGAAAATCTGAAACCTGGTAGGACCAGAAAATGTGGTCCTTATACCAAGAGCCTCTCAAGCTCCTCACTCAGCCTGACAGAAACCAAGAGGGGGAAGAGACAAGAATACAGGGTTCCTTCTCCCGCAGCTGCCAACCAGTGACCTGGTCTCTAGGAAAAAGCAGGGCATACTCCTTCCTCATCCTGGCTCCAGTGATCTATTCCAAGTTCTAGGTAACAACTGAGAAGTGGGGGCTCCCTTCTTAGTATCATTCAGAGGACAAAAGCCACTCTGCTCTCAGTGCAAACGCCAGGACCTTGACTGCCACTGCCTCCCAAGAGGGGAAATCAGGAGACCTGAGACTTTCGTCCCTCCCCCAAGGGCTTAACTCCTGAAGCAGGAGCATCATTCAGAAAAACACTACACCACTGCCCCAAGCTCCAGCGCTATTCCAGAGATTTCACCTGGGGTGGGAGTGAGTGGGGGAGAAAGGGAGAGTGGAGTTCGGAGTTCCAGGTCTCTTTCCAAAGGAACTGTTTCACATGCAGGGTTGATCGAGGAGTTCAAGCATAGAGGGACTTTCAAAAATACTGCGGACTTTAGGAGGCTGGGCACAAGGCGAGTGGGAGGAGGCTGGTTACATGAAATGCATCAAAACAGATACAGGTCAAACTGCAGGCTGAAACTATGTCTCAAGAATACCAGGGAAGAGTTAGAAGGGGTACTCTGGAGTCAAAAACTAGTATCAAAGACAGACCTCAGGAACTCTCTCTCCAAAGGAGCTTGCATTTGAATGGTTCAGTGTTTTACAAAAAGTTCTGCCCTGGGGTACTTTTGGGAAGGAAAAAGAACAATCTGCTAGCAATTAGTGCAGTCAAACAGATGAATGTGGAAAAAGACAATTACAGCCAGTCCTGCCAAAAGCACTGTCACCCCAGGGCCAGTGGGCAAAGGCCGTCTGCTCTCCCAAAGGAGCAGCAGTGAAGGCATCATGCTGTTGTGTAGGGGAGCAGAGACTGGGACTTCACTAAAACAATCCAGCCAACTACAAAAATGATGATGATGGGGCCAGTACGGGTGGGGGCGGGAAGAGGAATCAATACCCAGAGTTGGTAAATATTTAACAGTCTAGTTGATAACCCAACAATGAGACATGTAAAGAAAAAAGGAAACATGACCTACCTGAGACAAAATGCTGAAACAGAACCTGCCTATGAGAATGGCCACGTGTCAGATTTAACAGGCGTGTCCCCGTATGTTCAGAGCCCTAACAGAGTACTAACAGAGTAAGGACGTAAGAAGGCAAGAAGGCATGGTTGCATCAAGTAAAGACTATCAGTAAAGAGACAGAAATAATTTTTTAAAGGACCCAAACAAAATCTTGGAGCTCAGAAGCATATTAACGGAAATAAGGTATTACTAGGAGCTCAAAAGTGTATCTGAACAGTCAAATGAAAAAGCTGGTGATTAACGGAGATCACACAATCCGAAGAACAGGAAAAAAATAATCAAGACAAAGGAGAGCTTACAAAAATATTACATGCCATTTATCTACACACCCGAAAGTTCCACACACTGCTGAGTATGACAAACGGTGACTGACAAACGTACACAGCGTGGCCAGAATGCTGAAAACCAAAAACAAGGAGAAAATCTTAAAAGTAGTAAGAGAAAAATCAAAATTGCCACTTATTTAAAGGGAATCTCAATAAAACCAACAGTTAACTTCTCATTGGAAACAACAGAAGAAAAAAGACAGGAGGATAAGGTAGCAACCAAGAATTCTATATCCAATAAAGCTATTTTTCAAACATAAAGGTGAAAAGAGGGATACCATTACCCCCTAGAGAAACAGAGAGGAGTGCTATGAACAAGTGTCTTTCACTCAGATTCCTATAAAAATATAAGCTGCCAAAATAAACTCAAGAAACAATCTAAATTGACTTTTGAGAAGTAAAGGCAGTGAATTAGTGACCAAAAACCTATCCAAAAAGAAAGCCCAGGATCAGAAGCTTCACCACTGAATTCTACCAAATATTTGTAGAAGAATTAATACCAATTTTTCACAAAATCTTTCAAAAAGACAGAAGAGGAGGGAACACTTTCCAATTTATCCTTTAAGGTCAGTATTGTACTGATTACCAAAACCAGCTAAAGACATAACAAGGGAAAAAAAACTAGTTACACAACAATATCTTTAATCAATAATAGGGACAAACTCCCCACCAAAATACAAACAAGCTAAATCCAATGACATATAATGAAAAAATTATATTTATCCCAGGTCCAACATTTATGTGACACCTAAAAATCAATTAACATAATACACAGTATGAATAGAAAAAAAAATACACCTGGTGGCGCAGTGGGTAAACACAGCACTGAGAGGCTGAAGCCACTTCAGCATGAGTTTGATCCCCACCCCGGAGGTGACCACAGGGCGCGGCAGACCTCTCCTGACCCGCCCGCTAGCAGCTCCCCTCAGCAGTGGACTTCTTGGATCTGCCTGTTCTGCTCCCCGCTCTGTCTCTGGTGAAGCCTCTCACCGCCCCTGCACCTCTGGCCTGTACCCCAGTTCTGTATGCAGAAATAAATACATCTTTTTTTAAAAATACACAATAATCACATTAGACACAAGCCATTTGACAAAAATGCAATATCTTTTCACAATAAAAATGTTCAACCAACAAGGAAGAGCAGGGAACATCCTAAACCAGGTGAAGGCCATCTATAAAAACTCTGCAGCTAACACTGCACTGATGAAAGACAGGATACTTAACGCTCAATGTCAAGAAAAAGATATTATTAGTTGTCATTTCTACTCAGTATTGCATGTCACTTTCTAGCCAGTGAGATTAGGTAAGGAAAAAAAAGTTTGGAAGGGAAGCAGAACTGCCAAATGATGACATCTTGACATAAAAATCCTAATGAATACACTAAAGGACCAGTTCAGCAAGACTGCAGGATATACACTCAATATACAAAAATGGCCTCTATACCATACACTTTGTAATGAACAACCTGGAAACGAAATGTTGAAAATTCCATTTACAACAGCATCAAAAAGAAAAAGTGTAAGAGCAAATTTCACACAAGAAGTATAAAAGTTATACTCTGAAAACTATAAAACACTGAAATTCAAGATCTTTTGTTTATGGCTCAAAAGACAATATTGTGACTTGGCAAAACTTCTTAAATCAAGTCAATGCAATCCAGACAAGAACTCACCTGGCCTTTTTGTGGAAATCAGTCTAAAACCAACAGATGTAACTGGAAGGGACCCGAATCAGTCAAAACAGCACAGGGAAGAACAGGCTGCAGGGCTCACATTCCCGACTGCGAGACTTGCAGCAAACCACTACCACCCGTATCCAGACTGTGGCACCAGCACAGTGGCAGACACCCGGACCCCTTGGAAGGAACTCAGAGTCCACCGATGAGCCCGCACACCCACCGTCAGATGATTTTTAACCAGGGTACTAACCCAATCAGTGAGCAAGACACAGTCTCCCAACAAATGACGCTGAGGACAACAGGATTGTCACTCGAAAAAGCCTGAAGTCAGCCCCTCACCTTCCTCGGGTTATAAAAGGTAATTCGGGCCCTCCCTGGTGGCGCAGCAGGTTACAGCACAGCACTGAGAAGCTTAAGCCGCTTCCACATGAGTTTGATCCCCGCCTGCCCCGGCAGACCTCTCCTGACCCGCCCGCTGCTCCCCTCAGCAGTGTGCTTCTTCGATCTGCCTGTTCTGCTCCCCACTCTGTCCCTGGTGAATCCTCTCACCCTCCGCATCTCTGGCCTGTACCCCAGTTCTGTATGGATAAATAAATAAATCTTAAAAAAAAAAAAAAGTAATTGGGTCCATGTGGCTCAAAGGCCTAAACATAAGAGCCAGAGCGATGGAGATAACTCAGGGTACGTGCATCTTCATGGTCTCGGATTTTAAACTAAGGCTGAGGCTTCCCGCCTCTCTGGCCTCTTACCGCTAGGCCTGCAGCTCTCGGCCAGCTCAGCGGCACTCGGCAGGACGCAAGCAGGCTCCTGGTGCGGCTGGCACCACCCCACCCCACCCCCTGAGCAAGCAGCGCCTCTTGCTGGCCTCTGGGCTTTACCTTCATCTGTGCCAACTGCTGCTGCTGCTGCTGCTGCTGCAGCCTGCGGAGAGCCTCTTGCTGCTGCTGCCGCTGGCGCATTAACTCCTTCTGCCGCTGGAGTTCCAGCTCCTTCCTCTTCCGCTCCTCCTCCTCGTGCCGCAGTCTGGCCGCCTCCTCCTCCATTCGCAGCCGGTTCTCCTCCAAGCGCCTCTGGGCTTCTTCTTCTTCCCGAGCCCATTTTGCAGCCTCCTCTTCCTTCCCAGAAGGAAAAATAAGAGAATAAGTTTTAGTTAAGAAAACTCAGAGAACACAGAAGCACCGCTTTTGACAAGTGATGGCGGAGGGAAGTTTTCTCTGTGATTCCGTCAAGGGAGGGCTGTCTTATCTTGTGCTCTTGATGCCACATGGATCAAAACATAGTAAAAGAAAATGCAATAGGTTTATAGCAGCCACTGAGGCTTAGCATGTTTACGGGTAAAACTTTCACTCACTGGCTAATCTCTATGGAAGAGCAATGTCCTATTTGAGGTAAATGCTGACCCAAGAGCCTCCCCGCCCCCAACTAAGGAATGTCTCTTGGAAACTGCCAACCCCAGAGCTCACACAGCTTTTCAAGGTGCAAGAGCACCCTTACAGTGTGCTACAGCCGGGAAAGCTCGGCCAGTCTGGAACCACGGCTACTGTTACAGCTGCATTCTGCTTCTCACCTCTGTGGCCTCAGCCCATAGATCCCTCAGAAAATGTCTCCTCAACCCATCCTTCACCTCCTTGCTCATTTTCTCCAGACCCTAGAGCTCATTTTTCTTCTGCTGCCCTCCTGCAAAGCCATACCACTTTCCTTCAGAGAGTCTGTGTGCTACTCTGCAAGGCGTCCTTATCCACCGCACAGTCTTGTTCCTCCTCAAAGTCCAGGGCAGACATCAGCCACTGTGAGGGTCTCCCTGCTTTCCCATTGTGTCCACCACAGCCTGCCCTCCCTTCTTGTCACAGCCTAGCCCAGAGGCAGCAACTGTTCTCGTCTGTCCACCCGCCATCTGACAAGGCTTCTCCCTCGCAGTCTCCTGCCACATCAGGAGTTTCAAGTGCTGGACTCTGCTCTGTAATCTTCCCAGGTGACTAGAGAGCCATGTACTCAATTTTGGTCAAAGGCAAAATTAGGCTTTGATTAGCAAATGACTGTAAGTTTTACCCTGTAAACATGCTAAGCCTTCGTGGCTGCTATAAACCTATTACATTTTCTTTTACTACTTTTTGATACATGTGGCATCAAGAGCACAAAATTGTTCTGGGAGGCTTCTAGAGAGGAGGTTCTTCCCAGACAATAGGCTAGAATGACCACTCTCATTTTGGACACAGGTCATACAAGTGTGTGAAACCCAAAGCGCACAACCAGAGGTGGAAAAAAATGAACTTAAAAGATAACGCACCAGGGCTCTCCCTCATGGTGCAACAGGTTAAAAGCACCACATTATGAAGCTCTCCGAAGCCACTGCAGCACGAGTTCAATCCCCCACCAACGAGCTGACCTATATGGTGTGAAGACTTCTCCTGGCCCACCCACTGCTCCCCTCAGCAGTGTATTTTAGTAGATCTGCCTGTTCTGCTCCCCATTCTGTCTCTGGTGAATCTTCTCACCCACCACGCCTCTGGCCTGTACCCCAGTTCTGTAAGCAAAAATAAATAAATCTTAAAAAAAAAAAAAAAAAAGATAACACACCAAGAAACAACAAGCAAAGCAGAAAGAAATGTGCAAGTGCCTGGGTCCTTTCTGATGCCCACTGAGCCCCGAGGCCCCGTGACCGCCTTACTTCCTCGGTTTGGGAGCCAATAACGTAGCTACTGTTCATACCACTTTTAGGTGAATATTTTCTTGCAGAGCTGAAGGTTTCCTAACTGTGGCATTTATTTCTTATATAGTCATCACCCACAAAGAAGTTGGGCTTCTTGAGGACAGAAATATTTCTTAAAACATTTTATACCCCACCAGGAAACAAGCACAGTAACTGGTAGTTAGCACTTCAACTGAATATGCTATCTGCTAAATAAACAAGCCACGGAATGAACCAATACACAATCTAATAGTAAAGGTTTTACACCACTGATCAAGTTTGGATTTCTCCGAGTTTTAATTGAGAACTTAGGTAAAAGCAGTTACTGTCTACCCTTGGGTCCATCTAACTGAACAAGCACGGATTGCCTCCGTGCTTGAGTCTACACGAAGTCCGTGCTTGAGTCTACACAAAGCAGAGTCTACACGAAGTCATGTCCTCCTCGGGGCACAGCAGGGGGGAGCCTGACACACGCCGCTGCAGCCGGTGACCAAGGCCTATCCCAGGAGCCGCCATGGTGCCGACGGGGCACGGGACAGCACCTTGCCCTGCAATCTTCCCAAACAGCTACAGCCCAGTCCACTTAAGAGGAAAGCTACAGACAATCCAAAGAGCGTTACCTTACAAAATAAATCTCTGCAGTCACGAAGCTAAGGAGATGTGATAACTAAACACACTATTGTGGGGACAGTAAAAGAACACTGGGGACTACTGAGGAGATGTGAGCAGCCACCAACTTTGAGAATGCACCAATACTGATCTATGGTGACAAATGCACCATCCCAATATAAGGTAAAAAACAGGAAACCGTATTTTTCTAAAAAAAATCTAATATTGTTTGAAAAATAAAGTCTACCCCCAGCGCTTTCATGTTCTTAGCATTCAAGGGGAGTGCTTCAGGGGTGCTGGCCGCCAGGACGGCGGAGCAGGGTGTGCGGCGTTATCTGTGGCGAGGCTGCAGACCCTGCGGATGTGCTCGGCAGCCCTGACCCGCGCGCTTGGAGAGAGCAACTGGACACAGCGGTTTCACTCCGGTTCTGCTTTGATTCTCTGATATTTTGCTCAGCATTTCCAATCACATGGGGGCAGTTATTACAAAAGTACTGAGGTCGCTAAGTATCTGTCAGCAAGCTGAGAGTGTCTGGAATCGGCTACTGCAGCAGCCTGGTACTGTCAGGCACTGGCCCTCGCATCAGAGCAGCGACAGAAGCGCAAATGCCGGCACCTGCTTGCGCAGCAATTCTTCCTGCTTCCGCCTCTCCTCCTCTTCTCTTCTCCTCTCCTCCAGTCTTCGGAGAGCTTCTTCTTGCTGCTGTCTTTCCTCCTCTTCTCGCTGTCGCCTAAGAGCCATTTCTTGCTCCCTCTGGCGTCGCAAAGCCTCTTCCTGTATTTGAAAAGAGGAGGGTGCACGTGTGGGTCTCAGTAACCGACATTAAAAGGTGACAGAAACGGGCCACCTGCTGCCTCTGATAAACGTCAGTGGGAAAAGACCTCAGCGTCTAGAGTGACTGGAGCTCTGTGCACGTGAGATACCTGAGCTTGGAGGGGGCGCGCTACTAGTTACCCTAATTTATGTTTAAAATACTAGTTGCTACTAGGACTGCGCTGGGAAGTCTCCCCCAGTCTCCGCATTAGCTTCTCAGCAGCTGATGAACCACAGAAAGGGCCACTCAGGAGTGTTTGATATCACCAGTATTAGTCCCTGCTTCCCCCTCAAAATGAATAAATAAAAAAATTGTACAGTTTTTATTGAGGCAACATTGTTTTACAACACTGTAAATGATTTAGGGTGGGGCTCACACCTCTTCACTGTCTGTTACTATACCACTCCAGGTGGGGTGGCAATTTTTCTCATCAACTGAAAACCTAAGACAGAGAGAGGTCAAATTAACACAGCCACCAAAAAAAAAGCCTAGAGAGGCAGGAGTAAGTTCTCCCGTCAGCAGTACAAAGTAAAAGCTATGTAACACAGACCACGTGCTAAAGAACAGAAGTTATGGATACAGATGTTAAATATATAGAAAAACGTCCCAGTGCCAAAATTATTTAGGAAATGCTGAGCTATAATAGAGAGTTAAAAAGATGTCCTCGCTGGAATACTTTCTAGTGCCCTTACACACTAACACAGAGTGTGATGCTAAGAAACATCAGTTCTGATAGGCAGAATGAAGATTAGTTTTTCAAAGATTATGTCCTGGGATGGGCCATCAAATCGAAATATGAGGAAAAGGCCAGATGACGACAGAGCTATCACAGAAGTGGGTGAGTGGGGTCTTTCTGTTGGGATCTTTAAAAGTCACAACAGGCCCTCCCTGGTGGCGCAGCAGGTTAACGCACAGCACTAAGAAGCTAAAGCCACTTCAGCATGAGTTCAATCCCTGGCCTGGAGGTGACCACATGGCGCGGCAGACCTCTCCTGGCCTGTCCGTTGCTCCGCTCAGCAGTGTGCTTCACTGATCCGCCTGTTCTACTCCCCGCTCTGTCTTTGGTGAATCCTCTCACCACCCCTGCACCTCTGGCCTGCACCCCAGTTCTGTATGCATCAATAAATAAATCTTTTAAAAAAAATGTCACAACAGAAAAGTGGGCCAACGGAGATTTCCCCAAAGCAATACACAGATGGTCAAGAAACATGACAAATGCTGAAGTCACTGGTTGTGAAAACTTAAAGACTGAATTACTTCTGAAATCGAATTGGTTTTCAAAGTCTAGGAGACATACAAAATAAATCAACTCTAATCATTTAGCAAGACTAAAGAATATTCCTCTGGTGGTGTGGGTGGCTAACAGACTTTTTTTTATAAACGAAGCGAGTTTTACAAGGTTCTAATTTCAATCTCTGCTAGCGCCGTCGACCTGAGGGAGGCCTTCTCCCAGAGAACTGTTACCTGTGAAATGAGGGAGAGGGCAGCCAAGGGAAGGCCCTCCGGGGCCAGCCCCATGAGCAGAGTTCTCGAGGCGTACCTGTTTCCTTCGAGCGAGCTCTTCCTCCTCCCGCCTTTTCCTTTCTTCCTCCTGCTGCCTCCGAAGAATTTCCTCCTGCTGCCTTCGGAGCTCTTCTTGTCTCTTTCGCTCTTCCTCTTCACGCTTTGCCCTCATTTCTGCCTCTCTCCTCTCCTGTTCGAGCTGTGATTACACAAAAGTATTCTTAAGAAGGGGAAACCCAGCATGGGGTGTGCGAGATCACAGCGCTGGCCAGCGGTGCAGCTCCACCCGTAGGAGGGGGCCAGCCACTCCCGGGGCCAGCGAGCACCGTGGTCTACGCACTTCCCGGCTGCGTGCCTCACCCCACCTGGACAGACCGCCCACTGCACACTACCACCCACCCCCCACTCCCTGCATGTGGTGGGGCAACTGGCTATTTTGAGACAAACATCAGAAATCGTCCGAAGGGCATTTCCTTGCTCATTCCTACAAAAGATTTTGTGATGGAAGATGTAACTGTGTGACAACAAGGTTTCCACAACAATGCTGTAAGCTGCCAGTGTGAGAAACTACAGAATTCTTACAACATGAAGACCAACCACACAGCAGACGATCCTGTCCACGGTCCTGAACCACCGGCATGCAGACGCTGGCCCCTCTGCCACAGGAGCCAGGCCTTCCCTGTTCTCACCCACATGTCTACGTCTCTCCCCGGGTTTCCCTCCTTCCAGTCTGTGTACATTTCCCACCTTAACATCTAATCCTCTATGCAAAAATCTTTGCCGGGCTTGCATTAACTCCATCCTTCGCCCTGGAAATAAAGGTGGTTCGTGAACGCAGCGTGTGCAAAGGGACGCGCGACTCCCCTCATCTAGTTGCCTCACTCGTCACGTGCTCCTCAGAGGCATGCACCCAGACTTACTTAACTACTTCTGAGCCAGTATGTTCTCATGCGCTTCAGAACTTTCACAAGTGTTGTATTCCTTCTACTATGACTTATTTTCCCCCTGCTTCTACTCTGTCAATCCAAAACCCTTCAGTGGAGTTCAATCCCTATCTGTCCCTCAAGTGCAAAGTGGAGGTGTTACTGTTTATGTCACCTAATACCTGATCCCTCCCCTCTCCAACTGGCTGGCTTATCCAGGTGCAGTTCTGACCAGCAGTAACCAAACACACACATGCAGACATGAACACATCACACACCACTAAGCTCCTCTCTTTCATCATGCCAGGACAAAGCACTGTGGAACTAGAACACACTCAAAACATGCTTGGATTACAGGCTCTTACTCATTCATGGAGCCAGACCCTACTCATGACCCCTTCCTACACCAGACCCCAGTGCTACCTCACTGTAAGAATGCAATATGGATAAACTAAGTCTAATACTATGACAATGACACCAAGTATGACAGATGTCCTCTTTTGGTAAGTGCTAAAACTGAAAGTCAAGATTCCTAGCGCCTCCAGAAGATATGAGTGGAGCTAGGTACTCATGTTCATAGTGAGCTTGTCAGCTGAATGTGTGGGCACACTACGGCATATAAACAAACAGCACAATAGAGATTCAAGGTGGGAACACAAGCTACAGATCGAGAGTCTAAAAAAGCAATGTCAAGCATCCAGCTAGGTATAGTATTTTATATTTTAAGGCCTGCATTTATTACAAGTGTTTCTAGAATGAATAATGTAGTGAAACTATACACGTGACTACAATTATTGTGTCAGCTAATTCACCTTAACTGAGTCAATGAGTTAATTTTAATTGCTGTAAAGTCTTTTTCAGAAGGAGAGGACAATAATAAAGTTAAAATATGAATGTCCTTATACCAGCTAAGTAGTAGTAAGCTGAAAGGAAAAAAGCACAGTTAGCTGAAGAGCCCAAGCGCTCAAGAAACGATTGCATGCACTGTGGGAAGAAGGTGAGTCAGACCTTTGCGGCTTTCGCCTTCTCCATCTGCTGAAGCTGCTCCAGGGCAGGTCCTGGGGCTGCAGGATCAAGGGGCAGGTCCCACACACTACCGCCTTCCCACACTGCAAGACAACAAGAAAAAGACAGTCTGAGCGCCAGAGTTTACACACGTGGGCACGCAGCACAAGCACCGTGAAGTTATTTCCTCATCCGTGAATCATCTCCATCATATTTGCCCGTTATGCTTTGAAGTAAATGGAACTGCCAGGGGGCTCTAACTGTTATCACTGCCCTTAAACACATTTAGATGGAAATAAAGTACCAGGCATTTATTAGGGAGCTAATTTCATCCTCAAAAAATCTTTAATCTGCTTCTAGCTCTGTGGTTGTAGGTGACCGAGCTAGAGATCAGAGGTATTTCTCTAACACTCCCCAGGATACATGCCAAGCATATGGCCAAGCTAGAATTTAATACCCAGCATGCTGGATCCCAAAGCCAGCACACAAGTGGAGAGAGGAGTAACAGGGACAACTATGAAGCGAGAGAGCCACGGAGCCATCACTCATTTAAAGCTGCATGATTTCACACTACATGCATGAATTTCATTTCAATAAATGAGGATAAAAGAGAAAGCGAGGTATAGTGGAAAGTCTTCTAGAAAGGTTGGGCAGCTCTCCCACTTGACAGTGGGTTCTGCTGACCCAAAAAGTCAGGTGATCAGATAGGGACATAAGGAGATCGAGGCTTCTAAGCCTGTTTCCCTAATACCAACAAGGTTTGTGAACATGACTTTATATAAAGTCGTAATTATTATGAATTATTATCTGTATAAAATCAATAGATTATTTGTTAAGGTATCTTGACTGCACCATACCCAAAGAAAGAAACTGTTTAATAAGTTACTTTTAGTTCCAAAAAACTAAAAGTATTAACACCATTCTGACTGCAAATTGTTACCAAGAAAAAAATAAGGTACACTCAGCATGGCAAGTGGATAAGGGGAGCATCGGTCCCTCCAGAATGGCCACGGTCAACACTAGCAAGAGAACTGCTGAACAGCTCAATGGATCGAAGAAAAACCTATCAGAAATCAACAATTCCATTCACAATCACTTCAAAAAGAATCATAACCTCAGAATTAACCTAACCAAGGTCGTCAAGAACCTATACCATGATAACTAAAAGACATAAGGATTTAGGCATAAGGAGATGAAAATACATTCCCTGATCATGGATGGGTAGAAGCTATATAGTCAAAATGACTATTTTACTGAAGTGATATATAAATTAAATGCAATCCCACTAAAATACCAACAATATTTGTTAAAGAAACTAAACATAAATATTGAACTTTACATGAAACCACAGGAGACTTGTAACAGCAAAAGCAATCCTGAGAAAAAAGGAGAAAACTGGATGCATTGCATTATGACTTTGTATTATAAAACAATAATAATTAAAACTATGTTATTGGTATTGAAACGGATACATAGGTCAATGGAACAGAATCAAAAGTTCAGTAATAAATACATATATATATATCAATACTTAATGAGAGTCTCTCTAACAAAAGATGGTAGGAGAAATTACACAATCGTGTTTAAAAACTAAACGGGTAATTTTCTAACTTCATACACTAAAGTAAATGCCAAATGGATTGAAGATTTAGATTAAAACCAGCGACAATAAAATACATAGGAGCAAGTACTGCTGATATGCTCCATGGCACCACAATAAAAGGTGCTTTTGGTGACTTCACCCCTGCTGATAAATGAAATAAAAGCAAAAACAAGCAATTGGAATTATCACAAATTAAAGGTTTTTAAATATAGTGAAATAAGTACATTAAAAAGAAACCCTAGGCCCTCCCTGGTGGCGCAGTGGGTTAAAGCACAGCACTGAGAATCTAAAGCCACTTCCGCATGAGTTCGATTCCCGCCTGCCCCGGAGGAGACCACATGGCGTGGCAGACCTCTCCTGACCCGCCCGCTGCTCCCCTCAGCAGTGTACTTCGTTGATCTGCCTGTTCTGTTCCCCACTCTGTCTCTGGTGAAGCCTCTCGCCGCCCCTGAGCCTCTGGCCTGTACCCCAGTTCTGTATGCACAAATAAATAAAAAAAAAAAAAAAAAAAAACCCTAAAAGGGAGAAAATACTGCTAAATACACAACTGATAAGGGGTTAATAATCAAAACATAAAAAAATTATACAATTCAACAAGAAAAAGTTAAAACTTTGATTAATAAATGGGCAGCAGGTCTGAGCACACAACAGCAAATATCCAGAAAGCCAACAGAAACATGGAAAATGTCATCAAACTTCTAATAAGGGAGATGCATGTTCAAACTCAAATGAGGTCTCATCCCACACCTGTGAACATGGGGCGCATTACATAACCCCTGAACCACATGTGCTGGAGGGGACACAGAGGAACTCCATTACACTGTCAGTAGGAATCACTCTGGGGCCACCATTTTGGAAAACTACCTGGGGTTATATTGAAAAATTAAAATTGGAGACATGGCCCAGCAATTCCACTTCTGTGCATCCATCCAAAGAATGTAAAACCATCAACTCCAAAAGTTACATGCTCAACAATGTGTATCAAAGCACTGTTTACAGTGGCCAGCGCCTGCATCCCAGTGGTAGCGGGTGGGATCAAGACGTGCCCATCCGCACAGGTAGCATTCAGTCATGAGGAGAGAGCAAATGTGGCCACTTAGAGCTACATGGAAGAGGCTCAAAGACTTATTTATGTACAATAAAGCATGTCAGAATGATAAAAGCAAATTCTTTGGACATTTGCATAGCAGAGTATTCCACAAAGTGAAATACTTATAAAAACAAGTGAACATCAATAAGTGAAATGTGGTTTCTGGAGGAAGGTAAGGGAAGAAACCATCAAGGGGACGTACAGATTAGTGACAGGGGAAAAGAATCTATCAACGCCCATGGTTCCTGAAAATCTTCAACTATTCTAACCTCTTGAAAGGCCTATCAATGGTTCAAACTAGCCACTCCACAAACCTCAATCTTTAGAAACAATCCACTAATATCAAGACTTTTTTTTTAAAAAAACTCTAGTCCCAAATTTTCTAGTTTGATGCAGAAAGAACAGGTAAGGGTTCACTTCAATGTAGGTGTGTCTATCCCCAAAATTTCTAGGTGTGTGAAATGTTAAGCTATATGTGAACCCTTGAGTTAAAAGATAACTCACCATTATTTAAAATGTTCAGAATTTTTTACTTGTGCAGTATCAAAAACATCTTACACTGCTTAGAGCAACATAAAACACAGAGGCTAACTCAAATTCCAAGTGGGTTACCTACAAATTTCTAGCAACTCCATAATAGTATTATTTTTATTAACACTTTAATCCTTTGCTGGGGGTCTACTAAAAATTGAGTTTTGTGATTAATCAACATAAAACTAGTTTTAAAAAAAGTACATTTTTTAAAAATTGATTTATGCAAGCATGAGCCTAAATCCACAGAGCTGTTTACTCAGGGTCGATCTAAAGGCTTACCTGCAGGCTGTGAGGTTGTTGGCATCTCCCAGATAGAACCAGTATCTTGCACTGATACAGACCTAGTTACGGAAGGAATGACGTTTTGATCAGATATTCTGCAAAATAAAAATAAAAATATATTAACCTCCTCGTATCATTTTTTAAAAGAGGGATTTCTAGGTTATCTACAGGAGTTCCAGGTATTTGGCCAGAATACACCATTACTGTTTTAAGGGATATATAATAGCACTATCAAAGCATCCATGAGAGAACCCAAGATAAAAGCACAGTGACTACACCTCTGGGCTCCTCAGTGTATCAGCAAATACTATATAGTGGATACATTTGCTGTCTTAAAAAACTGGGAATGTTGGGCCTCCCTGGTAGTGGTGCAAGGAGTTAAAAGTGCAGCACTATGAAGGTCTCCACAGCCACTGCAGCAACAAGTTCGATCCCCAGCCAGGGAGTGACCCACAGGCCACAGCAGACCTCTCCTATTTCCCCCCTGCTCCCCTCAGTAGTGTACTTCGTTGATCTGCCTCCCCACTTCTGTCTCTGGTGAATTCTCTCACACCCCGCCACCAGCACCTCTGGCCTGTACCCCAGTTCTTACAAGCATAAATAAATAAATTTTTTTTTTAAAAAGATTTGAGACTGGCCCTCCCTGGTGGCAAAGCGGGTTAAAGCACAGCACTGAGAAGCTAAAGCCACTCCCGCATGAGTTCAATTCCCGCCTGCCCTGGAGGTAACCACATGGCGTGGCAGACCTCTCCTGACCTGCCCGCTGCTCCCCACTCTGTGTACTTTGTCGATCTGCCTGTTCTGCTCCCCACTCTGTCTCTGGTGAAGCCTCTCGCCGCCCCTGAACCTCTGGCCTGTACCCCTGTTCTGTATGAACAAATAAATAAATCTTTAAAAAAAAAAGATTTGAGACTGTCTCAGTAGGTCACAGACCAGCATACAATGAAAAATGTTCAGGCTTCTGTTAAGTCTAAGGTCTTTGAATGCTGTCTCTAATTAAACCCTATCATGCCAACAGGTTTTCAGCTTCTCAGAGACCCAGTTTGCCCATCTATTAAACGAAGACCTAACCAATGAAACTTCTTATTTCACAGGATGGTTTATGACTCAAAAGAGAAATACAGAAGGTTTTGGTTAAATGAGCCAGCAAGGTTTTTAAGAATAAAACCGCAGGAGACACAGTAACCACCCTGAATGATAATCTGAAACTGCACACGTTGAAGACTTCTGGCACGTTTCCCTTTCCTCACTCCCACCTTAATGATTCTGGGTTCAGAAAAACTTTTTTAACTACATGTAGCGCTGTTAAATTCCTTTCTTGAGAGATCATGGATAAAAATGAGGTTAAATGGCTATAGTACAATTTTTTGTGGCTGGTTCCCTATGACTAACACAGCTTCTCAAACATTATTATTCTTTGATTATTGTTCCAAATTAATCCTCTATGAGTAAAAGGACCAAATAAGTACTTTTCCTTCAGCTTAATTTTATTACAAACGACACTCTTTTTCCATATAACATGTAGGTATATATTCCACTTGGGCATTTTAGTACCAGACTTCCTACATTTTATATCGAAGTCCCCTTTCTTTTCCTTCCTTCACACGCGCACACCAGAACCCAACGCCGGGACCACCGACCTCATCTTCAGGGCCTGGAACTGCTGGAGCAGCAGTGCCAACTGCTGCTGCTGCTGGGAAGACAGGGCTGCCTTCTGCTGCTGCGCCAAGACCTGTGCGTACTGCTGTCTTCAAAAGAGTAAAACCAAGTGTGACTCGTCTATCCACATTTTACTCACTTTCCCAAGACAGCGAAGAACAAAGCGGAACCCACTCCCCCCACTAACACCATTAGAAAGAGCTATTAACTATATTCTTACAAATCATCATGGTAACGGTAGCACAGAAAATTCTATGCATCATTCCAGAATGAAATGAATTAGATGGCATGTTTCTGAGTGAAAGAGGGCGGTAAAAATACGTACCACACTATGTCAAAAGTGGCAAACTCAAGATATTAATAGTCTCTCATTAGCAAACAAGTGAAAAACAAAGTTCAAACTAATAGCTGTGAATATGAAGTGTGCTTTGCAAAAATAAGTCGCTTGCCTTAAAATTCCTAAGACCATGTCCCACCTTAGAAAACTTTAGGCTAATTTTTTTTTTAAACTAGATCAGAATTAGACAAATTATTTCATTCAGTAAAGAAGCAGACAATGAATACCTTTGGCTACTCAATTCTCCACTGCAGTGCAAAAGGCAGCAAGAGACAACACATCCATGTACACAAGTGGCTGTGGCCATTTTTCAATAACACTCTACTTTAGGAAGAGGGTCAGTCTGCCAATCCGCACCAGACACCATAAGTCTTACTTCTATGAAACAGACGCAAGCCCACTCTGCTACCATTACACACTGACAGAATAAGCTTTCATTCTTTCCTGCTGGGCTTTTCCTCCATGGCATTCAAATTTGAGCCATTTAGGTGGTACTTAATTCTTAGAATGTTTGCTAGCTGTACCTTTATAAGCGTAAGAGTTTATAAAATTATGGTTATGTAGCATCTCTGGAAAACTTTTATTAGTTAAGAAGGTAATACCAGGCCCTCCCTGGTGGCACAACAGGTTAGGACACAGCACTGCAAGCTAGCTGCAGCCACTTCAGTGGGAGTTCTATCCCCAGCCCCAGAGGTGACCCCCAGGGCGCAGCAGACCTCTCCTGACTCGCCCGCTGCTCCCCTCAGCAGTGTACTTCGTTGATCTGCCTGTTCTGCTCCCCACTCTGTGTCTGGTGAATCCTCTCACCGCCCTGAACCTCTGGCCTGTACCCCAATTTTGTATGTCTAGATAAATAAATAAATCTTCTTTAAGGAAAAAAAAAAAAGGAAGAAGGTAATACAAACTTAGGTTATATGTAACATGCCACTGGTTGGTTGGCAGAAATATCCCATGAAATTTCAGGTCCCTGTTGTTAACGATCACACGTGGGAGTCGGTGGTTATCTAATGGCTACAAGGCTTCCTACCACATCAGTAGCTCTTACTGTATTAAGAACTGCTGGTACTGGACATGCTGCATTTGGTATAAGGCTGTGAGTTCCTGCTGCCTGCTCAGTCGTTCCTGGTCCAACTCTCCCTGGGAATGAAACATTGGGGGAAGAAACAACAGCAAATAAATTGCTAAGGTCACAGAAGCCATTGAGTACATGTATCTAAAAGCAAAATAAACCCCATACCTTCACATTCACTCTGCCTTTATGCTTAACTGTAACACTTGGGCATCTTAAACTAAGCAGTGCCACCTACTGGAAGAAGGTGGTACCTGCCTTGTAAGACAGTCCTAAGAATAGAGGAAATGGTCCTTATTTCGGCTGCTGTTCTCCCAGTCTGCCCAAACTGAATGTTGTATTATAATCCAGGTTATTACTTTAACTCAAAAAATGTATTATTTTCCCCAACATTTAAAGTAGTTATAAATGTAGCAGTCCTGTAGCAATTATAGAAATGGGACAAAAAACAAAGGAGAACTATCTAAAGGTTAAAGGAAATGCTATGGTAGGAATTTCATAAGGGTGCATAATGGAGACAGCACAGCATGGTAAATCTTTCTAAAGATGCTGACAAATCTTAAATTACAAAGAATATGAAAGTTTTTGAAAACCAACTCTCTACCTAAAATGTAGCTGCTTCTATTACTATTCAATCAGGAGTTAGAAAAATGAGCAATAGCAAAATCTTTATATTTTAAGTAATGTGGCTATAATTTAAATTTTGAAAAGTTAAAACTGGAAAAGAAAATGAAATATGAAGTATAAAAACCGTAAGGGTGGTATACTCTAAGTTTAAGCAAACTATTAGTGAATACTGCCAGCAATTAATACCTTTATTATATAATAATCATATTTTGGAAGAAAATGTTTGATATATGAGGTGAAGTGGGCTCATGTGAAACCAGGAGTCATTTTCTTTCTCAATAAAGCACTGGGGGAGAAAAGTTGAGACTAGGCTGATCTAAAACTTCTACATGAAAATCTAAGTTTCAAGGCATCTATCAGAGCAAAGATAATGAATGACAGGAAGCAGAGCTCCCTAGGGCTCGTTTTTTCCTTAGGTAGATCTGGCAGAAGCTCAGGGTCACAGCACCCAAAGTCAAGAAACAGATTAAAGCGACAAGGCAGCTCCCAGTGATGGCTCTGACGCTTCATCAAGGAAACATGCATGATAAAAATTCTTCCCAATTTCAGAGAAGGGAAATAAAGCTCAAACTCAGTATATAAATTAAACCAGCATAAAAACACATGGCACCACATGTGGCGTTTTTCCTTGGATTTACTAGAGAAATGCCAGAAATAATTGCCCTCACCAGGGATCTTCATTGCTCACAAACCCTGAGTCTCAATCCATCAGTAAATTGTGAGATCACTGGGTCAAGATCAATATACAGGTTTTTTTTAAAAAAGAGCTAAACAGAGAAAACAGCTGCACAGCACAAAGCATTTGTGAAACTTTGCCTTGTGCGCGCGCACACACACACACACAGAGGTGGTGCAAAACTCTTTTTTTTTTTAAACTACAGCTTGTGGTCAATCAAAGAAGAGCCTGAGAGTCACTGCCCTTACCTATGACTTCCCTTGAATACAGACGTTGCGTCCTAATCACTTTCCTTTCCTAACAACCTACCACACCACCATGCTGGCACAGGCCCTCAGTGCACGGGAGAATAGACTGGTGACACAGAAGTCCAGTGTCACACTGAAGGCTTTGACTGCAGCCACGTTTCACTATGGCTAGTCACACTAGACACTCCAAAGGGGAGAAGGGAAAATGAGGCAAAGGTCCAAAGCCCTCCAAAAGGAAATCACAGGAAGAGAAGCACCCTGTAAAGCTTTCTGGGTTCCAGTATGCTAACTACAGAGACTAAATTATGATCCATTTTTAGCTGGATGACTAGTAACTATTCTAAAACAGTCTTCCAAGTATTCCAAAGCACTGAAACTTTGTATCAGTGACACTTACTTAAGGACAGACCTCACAACTCAAACTTTTGAGTCAAAAACCAAGAGGTAAAGGCAGGAGGATGGGCCAGAAAGACCCTGGAGGCCACAGAGGTGTAGAGGCAAGGAGCTGATGAGTGCAGCAGGAGCATCTGATGAGTGTCAGGAGCGCTGGAAATGAGCTGAGAGGTACAGGGCCAGAACACTCACCGGTCCATTTTTTTTTTAGTTACAATACCATTTTATAGTTCTAACCTATGAATTTAATTTATACAGTGAAAGACTGTTTCTTGAGGGAGAGAGGAGAGATGAAGGGCACACACAGACATTTGAGCTTTGAAAGACCATCACAGCTAGCTAGACTGCCTACAGTTCACACGACCACTGTGATTTTGATTACTTCCAGAGAACCTTTTCCTCATGAAATTTAACATTTGGGTTATTCTGGTTCTGACTTATGTTTTAAGGGAGTTGTAAGGTGCTTACCATATGAGGAGGAGGAGCTGGACCCGGAGAGAAGGGGACCCTTCCCCACATTTTCATGATATCACCAAGAGGTTGGAAGCTTTCATCACATGCTCTCTTCACCAATAAAGACATAGTAAAATAGCCTGCCTGAAACCATTCTGCCATCTCCTGATTATTGAAGGGACCTGTAAAAGAACCAATTAAACAGAAGAGCAATAAGAATCCCTTTTGAATAAAAAGGAAAAGACATTTCCTGAGTCCTGTTGTCATCCAGAGGTAATACTTGTTTCTGACAGCACCTGTCAAAGATCTTGTGTATCTTACTTCATCTCCAAAGGTGGTGAGCAGGTTAACAAAATACAACAGAACCTATTCTGAAATAAGCTTTATGATTACACATTCCAAATTCACAGAAGTGCCTTAATTTTTTAAAGTACATAGTTAGCTCCATTTCACTTAATCTCCATAAACACATTTGTCAGAAAAATAGGGTACAATCAGAAAGGGTATCTGTTAGACCTGGTCACTCTTAGGCATAAAGACGATAAACATGCAGGGTTGTAGCTGCTCTAATTTTCACTTGTGCCAAAGACTGATGATTATGTAAAACAAAGCTATAATCAATTAAATTAAGACAAACTATAACTTATTTACCTACAGAAGACTAAATATGGTCTTGGTAGGGGAAAAAGAAAATAATCACCTTTAAATGTCTTATAATAAGAAACTACCAACTATTTTATATATAAAATTCATAAATACACTCTGATCACTAAGCCCTAAATTACTTCACTGAGCAAATACTTGCTGAACATAGATTACGTCAATTAGGCAAAGGGATACGGCAATTAAGAAAAAAAGCCTAGACTATCCATTTGAGAGAAGACAGAGCAGGTATACTTTTCCATACTCCTCCTGCTAAATACAACTAAAACCTCTGGACATTACAGAGCAGATAAACAGCAGAAGACTCTAAAAGGTGAGGAAAGGGCAGCAGACTGACCAAGCACCTTGGGTCTGAGGAGCAATGTGGTGGTAAATGCCCCTGGGTTTTCAGTGTACCTCAGATAACCCAGGATGCAGCGGGAACCAGCAACAAGAAGCATGACCCAATTACCTGCAGTCTACAAGTTACTTCAAATATAGTAATATAGGCTGGTCAGAAAGTAAAAATAAAAAATGATTTATCACTCAAGCACTAGTTGAAAGAAAGCTGGAGTGGCTGGCTACGTAGTACTGACATCTAGATGCAGGGCGGAGAAGACCAGATGTGTAGTGTAACATTAACAACAAAGGTCGAGCTGCCAAGAAGACACAGCAGTCTCGACCGTGTATGCCCCAATCAACAGAGATGCAGCATACACGGAGCAAAATCTGACAGAACTGAAAAGAGATCAGATCCACAACTATAGCTGAAAGACCTCACCATCCCTCTTTCAGTACTTGTAAGAACAACCAGAAAGAGAATCCGCACATTTACACAACCCATCAACAAGCTATAACAGACATTTTAAACATCAAAATAATGCTTTTTTTTTTTTTCAAGTACCCGTTAACATGGCAATTAAACTACATTCTGGGCCAGTTTTTAAAAACTCAAACCACAGATATAAGTTCCTTATATAAAAAAGCTACAAAATGAAAAAAATCCAAAGAAATAGCAAAAATTGATTAAACTGAAAATACAAATAGTAAAATTATAATAAAGTGAAGCTGATTCTTTGAAACAGTAACTAAAATTAACCAACCTCAAGCAAGAGTGACAGAAAAAGAACTGAACTACCAAAGAAACCGGGTATATAACATTACAAGCTCCGTACAATAAAAAACTACTAGGGCCCTCCCTGGTGCACAGCGGTTTAAAGCACAGCAGTTAAGAAGCTAAAGCCACTTCAGCAGCACGAGTTCAATCCCCGCCCTAGAGGTGACCCACAGGACATGTCAGACCTCTCCTGACCTGCCTGCTGCTCCCCTCAGCAGTGTACTTCGTGGATCTGCCTGTTCTGCTCCCCACTCTGTCTCTGGTGAATCCTCTCACCACCCCTGCACCTCTGGCCTGAAACCCAGCTCTGTATGCATAAATAAATAGATCTTTTAAAAAAAAAATAGCTACTAAGGGAATATTACAAATCTGACACCTTAGATGAAATGGGGCTAAATCATCACAAAACAAACTACCACAATACATCTGTATCAGGAGATCTTTTAAATAGCCCTATAACTATCAGGGAAACTGAATCTGTGACTTAAAAATTCCCAAAATAGAAACTCCAGATGGTTTAACTGGCAAATGCTACTAAACATTGAAAGAATGAACACCCATTCTAAATGGTGTCATCAGGAAAACGTAGGAGAATAAGTCCCAGTTCATTTTATGAAACTAACATTATTCTGATGCCAAAATCAGACAAAGTACAAAAAAACCCACATCACCATCCCTCATAACCAGAAATGTGAAACTTCTTAACAAAGTATCACCAAACAGGATTCTGCAATATAAAAAAGGAATTATACATCATGGTGAGATAGAATTTGTTTAAAGGACACAAAGCTGATTCAAAATTCAAAGACTGATCAACACAATCTACCATATTAATTGGCTAAAAGCCATGATATAAAAAAAATAATGGTCATGGCCCTCCCTGGTGGCGCAGCGGGTTAGGACGCAGCACTGCAAGTGAGCGGCAGCCGCTTCAGTGCGACTTCAACCCCCGCCCGGGAGCTGGTCCCCAGAGCGCAGCAGCCCTCTCCTGACCCGCCCGCTGCTCCCCTCAGCAGTGTGCTTCGTGGATCTGCCTCTTCTGCTCTCTGCCCTGTCTCTGGTGAAGCCCCTTAGGCCCCTGCACCTCTGGCTTGTACAGAGGTTCTGTATGCATAGATGGATGAATCTTTAAAGAGGAAAGAAATGGAAAGAACCACCTGGCATTAAAATATTAAATATCAGGTCTATATATATATATATATATATAGAGAGAGAGAGAGAGAGAGAGAGAGAGAGAGAGAGAGAGAGAGAGACAGAGAGACAGAGAGAGAGATATGGAGGAATAAAATTTCAACTAAATTCAAAACCCAATCATGATATAAAAATAACTTTCCAGAAAACAATGTACTTCCTCAACTTGATAAAAACCCAGCAACTAGTATTGTGCTTAATATTAAAGACAGTGTGTCCCCCTGAGATAGGAACCAAGGAAAAACCTGTTCACCTTTCATTCAGTGGTGCTGGCTAAACAGGCCACAAAGGGTGTACAGAATGGTAAAGAAAAAAACATGAGCCCTACTTGCAGGTGACAATAATGTCTCCATAAAAATTCTGGGGAACCTAACAAAAAATCGAGAACTAATCCATGTAAGAAAAGAGTGAAAACTTTTTTCAATATTCAACACACCAGGGATCACATCAAACTAAAATGCTCTGCATGAGCAACGACGCTTCCTGAGGATGAAGAGTGCCCACTGAGGGGGAGATCCCGCCAGCCGCGCAGCCAGCCGGCGAGGGCCTGTGCCCAGCTCATCCCCACATGGGGGCGGAAATGCTCTAAAGCTTGCCTGTAGCAATGCCAACATCCTGGCAGTCACACTGCCCCACAGCTGGGCACGATGTTATCACTGGGTAAAGGCTTCCATGGCTAAAGGCTACATGGAACCTGCATTATTATTTATTTCAATTTATTTGTCTATATCTTACATCATTGTTCATTTTTAGGTGTTTGCTTCTCCTCACCCCCAGGTGTCGTCCCCATGGAGTTTCCATCCCAGTTCACCTGTGTGCCATCACCACAGCCCCCTGTGCTCCTGGGTCCCTCCTCCCTAGGTCTCTCTTCCCCGCCCCTGCAGAAAGTCTCCAGTTTATCAGTGCCTGTATGTTTGTTTCTTTGTTGTTGTGCTTTGTATTATTATTATTATTTCCCCTTATGTCTTATCTGGGAACCTGTACTAATTCTTACAATTGTCTATGAAAGCTACAATTACTTGAAAGTGAACTGAAAATATGTGCCCCATATATTTTAAGTTTATACACAGCCCTGCTTGGATGCACCTTACAGTCTACAGAGATGTAAACAAATAAGCAAATATAGAGAGCCAGAGCGACAGCTGCCACGAGGAGTGAGGCGTGAGTAAGGGACCGAGAAGAAAGGGAACGAGGCCACAGGCACTGTGCCTGATCAAGCACTAAGATGAAACTGACTGATACAGGCAACAACCAATTTCAGGGCAAAAGCAAAGATTTCAAAAGCAGAAATGCAGAATTTCTCGCCATCTATCCTAACTTATACATCATAGAAATATTTTAAGGGATTGCTTTGTAATGCAGTACTATTTTTCGCAGACATGTTTCATGGTTTTTTATCACCTCTATTTTATGATATCAACTCCACTTTGCTGAAACATTCAGCAAGGTCTTCCAAGAATGTGGCCATTATTTTTTTCCAGCAGGAAGACTACAGTACAGTGACTGGAAGACTAAGCGACTTACCTGTCCAGTTCACTGGCTGGGCTGCCAGAACTATTTAGCTTATACCCCTAGGGAAATCACATGCTGCCTTGTATTCTAATGATTTTCACTGATTCCTCCCACTGAAATCATAAAGTACTATGGGTAGAGCCTAAAAATGCTTCCAATATTTTATGACCTTTTAAAAAGACTACAGATTAAAAAAAAAAAAAAAAAAAGGCTACAGATAGCCTGCAGCGTGTGGAGTTCTTTATCTACTATTCTACAAGTTAACATTAACTAAGTATCGTTTTAAAGAATCTAGAAGTAACAGCAGACATTTCTGTAAAGGAACACAACCTACCTTGAATTTCTCCCTGAGGATCTTTGTAATACCACTTCTGCATTGCTTCATGCATCAATGGAACGGAGACACCCTTAGCTCTATGTTCTTGCAGCTTCGATGCCAGTCTCTCATCATCCAGTGCACTGTCTTGCAGATAAGCAACCATCTTCTCAGCTTGCTAATAAAAACACACAAACAAAACAAAGGATGAGGTGAACACATTATTCTAAATGTTTCCACACATAAAGAAAGCGCCAACTTCATCTGTGAGAGGCATTATGTATAAAACATGGCAGGCAACATCTTAACTCTTGGAATAATGCCATGAAACAGATACTATTCCCGATTTACAGAGGGCGAAACTAAGGCTCACAGGTGGCAAATCTTACACAGAGTGTCAAAATTATTAAGCAAAACACAAACTGCCTCCTCACAGCACAGGCTTCTAATCCACCCGTTAGGACGATTAACCCTCTAAAAACAAGGGTTTTGATATAATAAAAGGTTCCATTAATAACTACAAATAAAGTCTTTTACAGAGTTAAACACTGTCTCCTTTCTCCCTTTTTTTTTTTTTTTTTAGTATTTCCTGCCACCAACCACTCCCAGCCTGAAGGAAAGTAAAATTCTTTTGCGAAAGTGAACTATTGTTTACTTTATATATACCACTATATAGACAATCTCAGGGGACTCTGGAAACATGAGTAAGATGTGACCATCCTGAGAGTCTAACTATTTTCCTGCTCCCTTTGGTGCCCATCCACAGCTGCTTGTATTGGCCATTTCAGGCATTCCATTAAGTTCCAAAAAGAAAAAAGAAAAGCAAACAGCTAAGGGCAACCTCAAAAGAGCAAAAAATAACCTGACATAATGACTACTACATAGCTGAAACTTATAAGCATGAAATGATTTGAAAGACAATTACTCATACAAATACTAGATATACAAACAACTTCTCCAGCACATAAAATCTAGTGCACAAGTTCTATTTTTGCATATGCACTTATTGTTTTCCAGTTCTTAAGGTAGTATGTGATTTGTACCTGTTCTAAGTGCTTAAGACCCTCTTCATCGTCTGGCTCTGCGGAAATACCGTCCATACCAGGCGCAACTACGGCTGGAGTTTCAACTGGCCGGAGGGCAGGACGAGGATTGGGAACAGGAGGTGGAAGTATGAGAAGAGAGGCTGTGTCTGAAGGAATCTGTGACAGGGGCTGCTGGACTTCAGGAACCATTTCTAGAGAGGGAAAAATGTAGACAAGTGAGCACCTGTTTATTTAAAGACATATGCTTTTACAAAAGATAAGTCCACACCACCTAGTTAGGCCGTTGGTTAAGTGGGCCTAGCAGAAGTGTGGGTGGTCAGGAGCCCTGCAGTATTTCTCCCCAGAAGGAGACAAGTACCTCCACAGAAAGACAAAATACAAGGGTTTAAAGGACATCTAGATGATCCTTTTACAAAGTTAACCTGTGTCATCAGAACATTCACTCTACCTCTTAAATTCCTTCTTTACCTCTGAATACTGAAGAACGCTAACTAACAATCTTCTCAAAGATGTCCTAACTCATCATGGAAGCTGTTATTAAAAATACGCAATTATCTTGATTAGCTACCCATTTCAAGTCATAATCAATGCAATTTAATACATTACATCTTGAAGCACAATGAAAGGCACGTGGAGCCTACCTGTCCAGTGCCAGAAGTCCTTCCCAGTCAGAATAAGGCTGCGTAAGAGGCCCAGTCTCGGTTCCTATTTCTAGCCTCTCAGTAATGCAGGCTCGTAAGGCAGAGAGGGATGGAAGCAATTAGAAGTGCAGTTTCCCCTTTGAGCCCTGTTTGTCAGTTACAGATAGCTTCTCCAAATTCCTGTTCCTCTCACTCTTTCCTCTTTGCCAAGCTTCTTGAAAGGGCAGTCTACGCACGTTATCTCCACTTCCCTGCCACCATGCCTGTTGGGATGCGGCTTCCACTCTCTCTCCAGTAAGGTTTCTCTCTTAAAGATAAGCAGTGGCCCAAATCCCCAAATCCAAGGGCAATTCCTAGTGCTCATGGCCCAATCTCTTAGTAAACGCTGACATTGTTTACCTAATTCTGAGGAGACAAAGTCTCCATCCTGAGTTTTCTTGCTCTCCACTTTGATTCTGGAGACTTTTTTTCTGGCTCCTTTTATCTACCCTCTAAAAACAGAAATTACCAGGGTTCTATTATCTGTCTACACTCTCTTCACCTAAATATGTAATCTTGGAAATTTTCTCTCTCTGGCTTTAAACTTCCCAACCTAGTAACAGGCTCTCACTCACAACTGCTTTCTGTCCATGTCTACTTAATATCTCAGAGTCAAAGTTCAGGCTGGATTTATCCTCTCCCGCCCAAATGTACTCATCCACTTCCACTCTCTTCCATTAGTGACTGAAGTCTGCTGTGGCACCTCAGTCATCCTGACTCTCCCTCCTCTGTGCCGTTACAAGAGCAGTGACTGTTCTGTCAGTTCTGCCCTGAGAGCCGAGCTGCACCCACCCATTACAGACGCTCCACCAGGAGCCCATCTGCCACCACAGCACACTCCTGCCAACTTCAAGTTTCAAACATGCTTCTGTCGCCATCCTGTCACCCCACACACTCCATCTACACTTCACATCCAAGCAACATCAAACAAAAGGCTCCGGTGCAAAAGAAACAGTCAACGATGTGGAAAGCCAACCTAATGAGTGGGGAATACTACTTACAGATCACATATGGAACATCTAAAATACATGAAGAACTCATACAACTCAGGAACAACAACAAAAAAAAAATCAAAGTTTTAAAATGGACAAGACCTTTTTCTAATGACATATAAAAAAGCCAGCACGTGACAAAATGCTCAGCTTCACCAGTCTTCAGGGAAATGCAAATCAAAACCACAATGAGGTATCACCTCGGAGCAGTCAGAACCCCAACACCAAAGAGACAGCGGCAGTAAGTGTCGGCAAGGATGTGGAAAACAGGTCCTATGCACCACGGATGGGGTACAGCCACCAAGAAAACACTATGGGGGACCCTTGCAGTATGGTTCAGCAAGGTCATTTATTAAATAAAACAAGAACACTTTCATAGCATTACTGCAGGAGCCAAAACATGGAAACTAGCCTAAGGATCCTAAGAAAGCAAGACATGCGCTTAAGGGAATACTGTTCATTGGCAAAATCGAGAGCCGACTGTCTGACAACTTGGGCGCCTCTGGCAGCGCTGCTCGAGTAAGTCAGGCAGTGCAAGCTTATATGTGGACTCTTAAAAAAGTAAAAACATCAAGATCATGAAAGAGATCAGATTTGGGGTTACAAAGGAGGTGGACTGAAGGAGGGTAGTGAAAAGGCACAAACTTCGTTACAAGACAGTATCAGGAAAGCAAGATACAGCATAATGCACACAGCTCACAGTGCTGTGTATGCACAATGTTGAGGCTAAGTCCTGTGGGTTCTCATGACAGGATGAAAACTTTTTCTTTTTTTGCTTTCTGTTTTTGTCTTATCTATATATGACGGGTGACAACTAAATCCACAGTATGTGTAAGTTAAACCACCATGATGTTAGACAACTTAAACTCATGCAGAGAGGGAAAAAATGAAACGGGAGATCATGCCTGCCCACGTGTGGGTCAGCCCACTTCCTCTGCCTTAGCTTTCACTCAATCCAGCTCTAGAAACCCCTCTTCTAACTCATCAGCGATGCCTCTGTCTAAATTCTACTCATTATTCCACGACAAACTCAAAGGCACTTGCTTCCAAAAGCACCCCAGGAGTCTGCCAAGGGGAACTCGTATCACTACTGTCCGTCCCATGTTTTGATGGTAAATACGGATTTCCAATCTTCAATGACACCTATGAGCCTTTCTCAAAATACACTGTAGTATCCCATTCCAAAATCACCTACAATGCAGCCCCTGGCATGAACAGTCAGGAGAAAGTAATAAGTGAATAATGACTACTACAGATGAGAGACTAAAGATGTACAAGTCTCACAACACCTGATATAGAGATCCAAGTATGTGTCGAATTCACTTGTTCAACTTTATTCTAGACATTAAAGAAAAAAAAAACTGAACTATGTAAATCAACACGATCTAAGTAAAAAATCTTTATAATATACTGCTTTATTGGGACAGTACTAGCTATTTAAGGGACAAGACACTTAGCTTGGGAGCGTAGGGAGGAGAGTCTGAGGCACAGAGAAGAACAGCGTGTCTAGAGCATGGCGCTAGGAAGCTAGAAGCTAGTCAGGCACGTGTGGTGGAGAGGCAGACTGGAACTGAAAGTGCATGGAGCAGGCAGATGCCAGATCAGGCCATGCTGCAGCGTATGAATTTTTCTGATGAACAAATCAATTAACCTTCCAACATAACTATTATCACGCCACTTAATATGTACAACAAATAACATGGAAATGATATGAATATTGCCTACTACGGAATACGAGCAATTTTAGATCAATGCATGAACACTGAAGAAGGAAGCATACTTCAAGCTTGCACTCTAGCAAAGGAGACGGGGCATCCCTGAATTCAGCATGTTCACTGTTAGCCTTTCTCAGTACAAGGGTAATTTGGTGAGTCAGGACACTCATACAGCTATCATGTGAAAGGAAGCTATTATCTAATTGGGGGGGGGGGGGTGTCAAACTACTGCACAGGATCCCAAGCCCAGTTTGCTTGTCTGAAAATAGGCTACTGTGTCACAGAACCCTAGAAATGAAATTCCCGAACTCCACCCTTGCTTCACCTAACTCTACTTTGGGGAATTCTGGGATGAACATACACGTGGGCAGCAGTGTTGCTGAAGTTTCCTAGTAAAATCATCTATTCCAATAATTCGGCTAGGAGTTCCCGAATGCCCAGGCAGGAGCCGCCGGATCAGTGACAGGCAGCCCCAGCAGAGCCCCACGTCAGCGCGTCCACCCTCGATACCTACCGTCCCCTCTGCTGGGCACTTTGGCTGGCAGGCTATTTTCTGTTCGACTCTCTTCTTCACCCTTTTCTGCTTGCTCAGTTTTGAGTTCCTCTTTCCTCTCAAACTGTGGTGCTTCCTGAGGCGGATGGTCTGAAGGAGAACCTGGTCTAGCAGAAGATGACGAGGTTTGGGGTGTTTCCTCACTAGCTTCTGTAACACGAAACAATCTTAACAACTTGCGAAAGTGAGGCTTGATTAAAAGAAATAAAAAGGTGAAAGATAAAATGAGCCTCACCAACTCCTATTCTGTCTGTCTTCTCCCCTTCTTTCTTATGTGTCTTATCTGGCTCTTTGGCTTCTTCATTATGGCTACCCTCGGAGTCAGAGCACTCCTCTCCCTCCTCTACAGGTCGGAAGTCCATCTCTTGTTCTTCTGGAATAGGCTCTTTCTGCACTTTCTGTAACAAGAAAATAAAGCCAAAGGTCAGCAAGCATATTTGGCTTTGGCAGAAGGCCAGAACCTGCCACACATTTAAAACCAATTTCTTACTTTTAGAGAGAGGAATGCTCCAGAGGAGTCAAATGTGCCCATTTCTTCTTCAGCATCCTCCAAGCACCACTCAGGCAGGCTGTCCCTGTCATCATCTATGCTCCCACTGCCGGAGCGCACCCTTCGGTAACCCCGCTCATCATCCCGATCTCGAAAATCAAACTCAAACCTTCGCCGCCGTTCCATGTGCTCCCGCCAGCCTGCAGAACGAGGGCCATCTGGGTAAGGAAGGAGGGCACACAAACCTTAGAAAAGTTTAATGACAGTACCTGAAAAAGAAGACCATGGATTGGAAATACAGGAGAAAACTGCCACTGAAAGCAAATTCATGTAAATGAAGTCTGCCGCACAGCACTAGATGGCCTCAAGGCAACAACAGTAATAGCCAAGTCCTGAGCCATACAACATGCACTAAAGCTTTTAAAAATAAATTCAACGGAAATCATGTCTAAAGACACTTTTAGGCACGACAGACCTCTTCTGACCCCCCCACCCCCCACAGCCGTGTACTGTGTTGATCTACCTGTTTACTGACCCCCATTCTGTCTCTGGTGAATCCTTTCACCACCACTACCAACTCCCACCACCACCTCTGGCCTATACCCCAGTTCTGGTATGCATAAATAAATAAATCTTTTTTTTTTTAAAGATGTATTTATTTGTGCATACAGAACTGGGGTACAGGCCAGAGGCTCAGGGGCGGCGAGAGGCTTCACCAGAGACAGAGTGGGGAGCAGAACAGGCAGATCGACGAAGTACACTGCTGAGGGGAGCAGCGGGCGGGTCAGGAGAGGTCTGCCGCGCCCTGTGGTCACCTCCGGGGCAGGCGGGAATCGAACTCATGCGGAAGCGGCTTTAGATTCTCAGTGCTGTGCTTTAACCCGCTGCGCCACCAGGGAGGGCCAAATAAATAAATCTTTTAAAAAAAGTAAAAACACTTTTATTATTGAGTAAAATGCTGATGAACCGTTCAGACGCTCTATACTAGCCCAGACTTATGTACTCAGGTCCACACCTTCCTCCACCTAGCAGGCCTTAAGGCAGTTTCTTTTCATGAAAGTATCACTCCTTAGGTATAAGACCAATTCCCCATGCATGAACGCAAACTCTCTGCGCCAGTGTGCCAGTGGCAATACCCCATTCTTCAATGCTGATTCCCAACAGTATCATGGAATAATAACACTGCCAGGCTTCATAAAGGTTTCCACAGTCCACTACCCAATTTCGTAGTTTAAGAAAAACTCTGGACAGCAGAAGTTACTTTGGTATTGACAAATCAAACCTAAAATCCAATTCTGCATCCTCTGGTGCTTTTCCACACTAACATGCTATTCTCTTCCCCTTTTCTCTCACCTCCTAGCGCTCCCTAGGGAGCTTTTATTTCCGGGTAACAACCCCAGGGACATTCCTAAATCCACCCCAGCATGCTATTCATTACATTTACTTCCAACAGAAGAGAAATGCCTAAAAATAAAAGACACTAGTCGCTGAAATTTTAAAAAAGGGAAAGGAAACCTTAAAATCTTAAAAGCCTGAGTGACAGAAGAAGGCTCAAGAAGCAGAAGGTGTTGACCTGTTAGAACTCCCTGTCCTTGATGGCTTTGTGGGCATGAGCCCCTGTGGGGAAATGGCCCAAGTCTAACAGCCTCGGGACTAAGGCTCAATTTGCTAAAACCAGTAATCTGAAATCCCACAGAAAACGAGCAGGGAGAGTATTAAAATGCCAAATACGGGTCGTTTCTTATAAGTCACTTGCCACCTGCTAAATGAACACCCAACACGCTCTACCTTTAACTTACAATGATAACCAAAAACCCCATAAAAACTGAGGCATTTTATACCCAGATTGCTTAAGTGCAAACTACTCAAAAGGAGTATCCATGGCCCCGAGTTCCAGAGGCAGGCAGCCCAGGCAGCCCTATCTAGTGTCTTTAAGTATGCGGGGTAGGGATCGGCCCTCCAGGCATCTGGCCCAACGTTCCCAGGACAAGCTCAGCTCCCAGAGTGGGAGCTCCGTTCAATGCTCCCATCTCCATGCAGCTGAGCTGTATAAAGTTTCTATCTCATAACACTGTTGTCATTTCAACATTAAAATTTTATTTCTAAGTCTAAATGTAGCTGACAAGGTACATACACCTCAGCTTGTTAAGACTCACCACTGCTTTACAAATCTTTACAGATGCCTTACAGAACAGAACTGAACTCTGATGCTACTTTTATAAAATTAGTCAAAATCATTATTTTTAAATTTTTAGTCAAACCCCAATAAGGGGTTTAAGTATAATCTAAGAAAGGTTAAGACTAACATAACAACTGTTACATTCAGACTCAGCCTTTCATGTGCTGGGCTGGAGAGCAGTGAATGGTCTTTTTTTTTAATGCATAGTTACAGTGTTTTTTCAGCCCCAGACATTCCATATCTCCTAGACTGTCTTTTTAAAATATGTGGATTAAAGAAATTTAATTGTCAAGTTGACAAAATAACCGACACAAAAGTCAAAAATATTATGGGAAAAGACTTGAAAAAAAAATAATAAAAAGACAACATACATCCAAAATCTAGATTGTTGGTGGGGAGGGCCAAGCAGTGGAATATAACACTAGCAGTTTACTTTGTTTAACTCCCTTTAATAGAATCAACATCAGACGTTTGGGATCAGAAACACTGTTCATCTTCCAAAACATTCACCTTGTTTGTTTTTGATCAGCTGGAATTTTTCTTCTCGCTCAGCCCAGATCCTGTCCATTCTTTCACTGAATGCTTGTTGGGAACATAGTCTACAAACCCTTCTGCTCACAGGCAAGCTCAGCATAAAATGCGAGATGTCTTGAAGAGAACTGTAACACCTGGTTGCCCGGGCCACAAGCTGACAGGAACTGCCTAGGCAACTGTGACGCAAACAATGGCCACTAGTGACAGAAGGCCAACTCAGAGGCGCCTCAGGAGCTGGGGAGATGCATAGAGACTGTACGAAGAACTGACCTCACTGTTCCTACTTGCCCCCAGCTCCATGAAACACTCTGAGTGTCTTGTACCAAAACCAGTGGTTCTACCAATAAATTGATTTTGAAAGTAAATGAAAGGAGTTCTGCATTATTAAAATTTTCCTCTACTAAAGGTATGTTTCCTTGGCATTTAATTAATAGATTAAGTAATGTTATGCACCTGCAATGCACAAGGCACACACAACACACTCTGTATGTTTCAGTTCTGTACAACCCCCCAATTCAAATCACAGTGGCAACAGATTATCATGAGGCATGGAATCAGCACTTTGGTAGGGAATGAACTTTAACACAAAAGCACCAGTGTCTTCAATTACCAGCATATCCAGTATCAGGGAAGAACAGTTTGAAGCATTCTTAAGAGTCAAACAGAAGAACTTATAAAACCACTAATCACTACTATTCTCTCTCCTTTTCTTAAAGTTGGAAGAAAATAAAGTATGAACTTGTGATTGTTTTTGACCTGGGTTTAAAATTTATTCTTCAAATAAGCATAAATAACATCTTCAGGTCAAGAAAAGGAAATAATAAATCTTTGTTATCCAGACAAAATCCCAACTTTAAGGAGGAGAACATATTCCTGAGTGTGTAATGATAGCACGTGTCTAAGTTTTAAAGCATACTAAAAAAGATGAAAAGATCTGGGAGTCAGACAAAACCAAATGAAACGTTCTCATTATTGCAGTTAAGGGGAGGTGTTCCCCGTGAAATCACACTATCTGTTCTTAAAATATAAAGAGAATTTATATGTTACCATGTTTCGATAGGACTGAGGTGACATACATGAGTCCTCTACTTTCTTTGCTTTGCCACTTCATCTTTCCCCTTCATCGCTAACTCTACTGCATGCCCCAGTGCGCGCCTTCACTCGGCAGCATCTTACCAGGACTGTGAGGCCGCCACCTCTCTCCATCCCTTCTTGATCCAGCAAGCCGCCAACCTCCATCTTCATCTTCTCCATTTTGCTCCTCTCTAAAGATACGCCAATTTTCACTTTCTGATCGTATAAATTCATGCTTTCTTCCCAACGATGCTGGTCCACTTTCCTCAAAATTAGGTCTCCCTAATTAAGAAAATAAGAAAACATAAGCTGAATTCTGAAAACAGACCTGAGTACTCAAGTCAAGCTTTTTTGCAAACATGTGCATCTCAACTTTCAGGCAATGTAAATAAAATAAATGCAGATATGTATATTATTTGTGTAGTTAAACACAAAGATGGGTGTTTACAGACTGAACGATTTTTTTTTTTTTAAGCAAAAATAATGTATGTGCTAGAAAAGGCAGGGCTGGGAAGAAACATGCAATTAAAAGCGAATCAGCCTTTCCCCTACACAAAACTCCCAAAATCTCGCTCCCAGAAGTCATTACCATCAAGTCTTATCAAGTCTTCCAAACACCGCCCCCAGCTACACCCGCCTGCACACACAGGTTCCTCCAGACACAAGCGCCCGCGGAATGCCATGTGTTTTCTGTACCCTTGCTGTGTTCACTTAACAGTGTATCATGGCAGTCCTTCCTTGTCAGCACTTGCTTTGTTACTTAAAGTAATTTATTATTTCTAATTACATGATGTACCTTAATGTATTTAACCAACTTCTACTGGTGATTCTATCAAAACAAGGTATATTTTCAACCTTTTATTCTAAAATATACTGTAAACCCAAAAGTGTGAGACTGTGAGATTTAGTTTTTCATTTCTCCTAGTGCCTAGTACATGACAACCACACAACAAATTGCTTTAGAACAGAGTTCAAAGCTAAGAAACGTCTAGCCTTATGCAATTCAAGAGATAATTTAACAGTAAAACATCCTTCTATCCCAAGTAAACTGGACTGGTACTTTCAAAGAGCAAGTCCGTTCTAAATGTGCTAACATACCTATAATTCATATACAAAATCTCACACTGGTGAGACATTCAGAACATATACCCCAATGTTTCTAACAGTAAATTATAATTCTCCCAATAACCACCTTAATTCCTTTCATTAAGTCATACTACCAATGAAGAAAAATTGCACAGTGGCATCTGAAAATGAGGAAATTCTCATTTCTGGTCATCCACCTACTTTCCATTTCACATGGACTACAATTCAACATCTTGTCTGCCCAAATGGTGGTCAGACTGTCACCAGGTATCATTCTACTTAAGGATAAACTATCTTAGAATAGAGAGGGTATGATAATTTGCTGGGCAAAGTATTACTTGCTTTCGTACAGAAACATCCTCAAGGCCCTCCCTGGTGGCGCTGCGGGTTAAAGCACAGCACTGAGAAGCTAAAGCCACTTCCGCATGAGTTCGATTCCCACCTGCCCCGGAGGTGACCACATGGTGTGGCAGACCTCTCCTGACCCGCCCACTGCTCCCCTCAGCAGTGTACTTCGTTGATCTGCCTGTTCTGCTCCCCACTCTGTCTCTGGTGAAGCCTCTCACCGCCCCTGAGCCTCTGGCCTGTACCCCAGTTCTGTATGAATAAATACATAAATCTTAAAAAAAAAAAAGAAAGAAAGAAAGAAAAAGAAACAGCCTCAAAACTGACCCTACAACTCTGCCTCTGGCCTCCATGTGCTCTCCTCTCCTGAAGTGTAGGCTGGATTTAACTGACTAACAAAAAGAATACAGCAGACGAAATGTCTCGTCAAATATTAAGAATTATAGTGGCTTCCACACTGGATGTTTGTTCTGCGGGAGTCCAGGAGTCATGTCATGGGGGACTCCGGAAAACCCACAGAGAAGCAGGTTGGCCAACAGTCCTACGTGTGAGCGTGGACATACACCCAGCCCTAGTGCAGCCTGGGATGGCCGCAGCTGGTAAGACACAGGCTGGAACTATCTAAGGCTTGCTCCCAGAAACTGAAATGCTCAAGTGTGCAGTTTACAGCCACTACATTTGGGGCTTACTTGTTACCCAGCCATAATAATAAAACACTCATTGTCTGACTTAATCTTCATACAATTCTTGGTACTCAGAGTTACTTTAAAGCTAAGGATATTGAGGCTCAAAAAGACAACTTAGGACAAATGTCCAAAGCCACACACTACCATTTAAATGGCACAGATAGAATTCAAATGTTAAACTTCTGACTCATGTAAGAAATGTTTAATGCACATTAAATGTCAAGTTTTATCAATTCAAGTGTTCCACTTGGGTTAGAAGAAACTTCCAGATTCCTCATGCTCAGAAAAAGAAGGGATATGGCCCTCTCTGGTGGCACAACGGGTTAGGATGCAGCACTGCAAGCTGGCCACAGCTGCTTCAGTGTGAATTCAATCCCCGGCCCTGGAGGTGACCCACAGGGCGCAGCAGACCTCTCCTGTCTCGCACGCTGCTCCCGTTTACTTCGTCCATCTGCCTATTCTGCTCCCCACTCTGTCTCTGGTGAAGCCTCTTACCACCTCTACACCTCTGGCCTGTACCCCAGTTCTGTATGCAGAAATCAATAAATCTTCAACAACAACAACAAAAAGACTAAGAGAGGATAATCCATTTTACAAAGCACCATACCCATTATAAGGTAAAATATAACTGTATTTATAAAAGAGACACAAGATTAAACAAAGAAATCCCTAGTCTGTATAAACTGAGAGATGACGGGAAACGACTTCTCACCCAAGTAATCAGCCAAGATGATGTATGTCAGGAACTTGCAATGAGCTGGGATAATGGTGGTAGTCATGTGACAGATGTGCCACCAGCAACACTCCCTTCAATCTACTTCTCGGCAAGTCTTTGAAAAAGTACTGAGTACATCAAAATAAACAAAGTAACACTAATGGCAATACCTAAATACCTAAACTAGTCACTATACTTTTTCTAATTGAGAAAATACTGCAAACAAGTAGTTATTAAAAATAAAAACACTAGTGTCCCTAAAGCTGGGGAAAATCCTATTTAGTTGTGGTTAGATTTTACATGATTTTATGCTATATATATTTTATGCCATCAGCTTACCTATCATTTTATAATCAACTTCTCATGTATGATAGCAAATATTTCTCTGTGAGCATCCAGCTTCCTAGTAATATGTAGAAAACCTTGTTGCTGAAGCAAAATTTTCTACATTATTCCCTAGTGAACAATACTTTACAACTAATTTTTTGCAAACTACATGTAATGAGACAAGAAATAGCTGTGTACACATGTATTCTGCCTTTGAGCTATTCTTAAAAAAAAAAAAAAAAACTTCAAAGTGAAATTACTAGGTCAAATGACAGATGCCATGCATTTATACCTTTCCCCCATAAGAGCAGTCAGCCACCACATTTTACGTTATCAACACAAAGTGCAGCTAGCCACTTAAAATCACTGCTACAAAAAAAAATGTTGCTACTTAATAGTCTTAAAATGACCTATGTAACTCAAATATGAATGTTTCAAATGTAAAGAATTTTTCATGTTGTTTACTGATTTTTATTCCCCGTAAGTAAATTGTTTGCTTTTATTTTTTCTAAACTAACATCTTCTTTTACCTTTGTAACTACCAAATCTTACATACACTTTTCATATTCATCCCTAGGAATAAAAATATTGGGTTGCCAGAAAAGTCATGATGTATATTTTTTCTGTTTTCTGTTGCAAAAACACATCAAAAGAACAGGAGATAGTTTTATTTTGTTTTTAAAGGAAAACTACAGGAAGGGGGGGAAAAAACCTGCTTTTTCTACCTGCTGAAAGCTATCCTGTATCTCAACTCCTGGAAAACCCATACCAACACCAAGTTGGAAATGATTTTTATGCCATTCCTAGTTCCATAAATGGCTGAAGGTAGAAATTCTGGAGGTAAAGTACAATACCAAAGAACCTGGGGTCACTGGACCTGATTTTAAATTCTGTTCTCACATTCTAATCTATACACCTAAACTACAAAAGATCCATTCCTAATTTGAAAGAGGGAGAGGACATGTGTGTGTGTGTGTGTAACTGAAGTCACCTGAATTTATCTGACACTAGCCCATTCTATTGTAGTTAATGTGGCTCTGTAAGAGGAAATTAAGTTTCATCAAATTATTTTGTTTCCACAAAATAACCCCTAAAAATGTATAATATTTTTGATACATCAAATACTACACCATGGAACACTGCAATAAGAAAGAGAGAAGTCACAAGTTCCCCCAGTAAGTCAAGAAAAATCAGAATAATAGAAGTCTGACATGCTGAACACATCCCAGTTTAAGCAAAAGATAGGTGGGGTTTGGCCTGCAGGTGTCACTGTCATTTTTATAATACATAAATGAGAAAAGGATTCAGATTGTTAAGTAAACTTCATTCATCTACTCATCCTACCTTTAAGAAAAATTACTGTTGAGGTATAGCCATAGAAAATACTACACTATAATATAAAAAAAGGAAACAAATGATAATGTATAATTCCAAGATTTTTCATAAAGCAAATAGTTATCTAAGTCTTAAAAAAAAGAAAATCAGCAGCAGCTCTCAAGTCTTTATATCCCATCAATCCTTCCTAAGAGAAACACTATCTTCATTTCTATCCCCCCAAAATTAGTTCTGCCTGCTTTCGAACAGGCTAAGCATTATACAGATGGAGCATTAATGCTGGCTTCTTTATATAGAACTGAGCATTAATGCTGGCTTCTTTCCATGAGCAGTATGTTACAGAGGACTTGTTCTTTTGACTGTTGTACAGGATCTCATTGCCTGAAGAGACCACTATATATTATATGACTTTACTGGTGATTTAGGTTGTTTCTAGTTTTTTGCTATTATGAACTGAGCTGCTATGAACATTCCTGAATATGAATTTGGATAATCATGTTTATACTTCTGTTGGTACATACATACCTAGGAGTGAAATTGCTGGTCATAAAGTATTTTCAACACTACTCAGTACTATCAACTATTTTCCCAGAGAAATGAACACTAATATGAGTGTCACCTTTACAGACAAACACAATTAAAGACATAGGATCAAAACTTTAAAAGACACTTGTAACAGCACCTGTTTTCCAGGTCCAGATTCTAGGGAAAAACATGCAGTCACATGACCTATTTATTACATACAGCTGACAAAATTCATTAATATATCTGCTCCAATCCTCGTAAGAATCACAGAAGTCTCTAATACTGCTGGGAAGAAAGTATTGGTATTTCCCAAGTCATACAGCTAGTAGTGATGAAGACAGAATAAAACCTAGGTGGTTTTAAGTCCTAACCCACAGATTAAATCACAAGTTAAACTCATAGGGTGCAGCCATAAATTCTAGAAACACTAAGTAGGAAGCGGAAGGTCTAGGCTCTAAGTTTAGCAAGTTCTGAAGAGACAACAGACACACCATTGGTGAGGGCTGACATTCTTACAAGGGGAAAGGGAATTAAGTCATTGATCTTCCAGCAAAAACATCAAAATACATATCCCTAAAGAACAACTACTTCAATATAAAATTTTACTCTAAAAACAAATGGGGAGGGATTACTTTAAGCAGGATCGAATAAAATATATTTCAAATTACTACTACTAATAAAACTGAAAGTTATATTGCATGTAGCAATTACTTTAAAACATTAAAATAAATTCTTTAAAACCCAATGATTACAGTAAACTTCTGTCTCTGTAAATCTGGACAGGTGAGAAAATCAAAGAAAACTTTACCAGTACTATTTGAGTTTAAATATATACATGTATTTGTGTATTATGTATATAATTTTAAATAAATGACAAATATTAAAGTTGCTCCTGAGAAAATTAGAAGGCAGTATCTAAAGTTCCTCTCATGTCCAAAAAGTCTAGGATTCCATATGGCCAATGCTGAAATGTGTGAAGGAAATCCGCAAGGCCTCTCAGCATTTAAAATCAAAGCTTCCCTCTTTCTAAACATCATCATCATGACAAGTTGAGTAACCAAATATTTCAATTGAATTCTTTTTTAAATTTTAACAGATTAATTTCTTTTAATTAATTAATTTATTTATGCATGCTTACAGAACTGGGGTACAGGCCAGAGGTGCAAGGGCAGTGAGAGGCTTCACCAGAGTCAGAGTGGGGAGCAGAACAGGCAGATGAGGTGCACTGCTGAGGGGAGCAGCTGGCAAGACAGGAGAGGTCTGCACACCCCACTGGCTGGGGATCAAACTCGCACTGAAGCAGCCACTGCTAGCTTCACAGCGCTGTGCTTTAACCCACTGCACCACCAGAGAGGGCCCAACATTTATAAACAAGATGATTTAAAATCAAATGAACTAAATAATTTACAAAGTAACGCCTAAGTCAAATAAACCTGACCTATATTCATTCAGCAGTCATGATCTCTGAATCTGAAACACAGACTACACTGGCACTGCTTGTGTTGTTTTTCCAGAGAAAAAGAGTCTACAGTCTTAAAAAGTATCTACTGATAAAAAACACACACACAAATTTGAAATGTGTTTTTTCTACTCAATACAGCACATGACCATTTTCTAAGAAAACGACATACCATCTACATAACTCATGGTGTATGTTCTCACATCAATAATAACTCAAGATATGTAAAAGGTGCTAAAATACAAATATGCTACCTATGTAAATATTTTCCCCAACAGCAGTAAACGCTAGTTATTTCTGACTTAATATATTAAGTCTGAATAGGAATCATCTAAAAATGAAATTAAATCACGGCACTGGTTTTGGCCTGGTCCGACTGAGAGGACTTCCTAAGGGGAAAGAGCAGTAAAAGGGCACCTGTGTGAATGTCTGACTCGTAGCCAGAAATGATGTTTATGGAAAACTTCAGATGGAGCAAAGAGGAGCTCAGCCAACAAAATCTACAGCTGCGGGACTTGGAACTTCCAAGTGCCCAAACTCCAAAAGCAAAAGTGGAATGATGGGACAGACTTTGAAGCTTGTTTATGTGCAGTTTTTTTTTCTGGCCAGTAACTACGTATTCCTCCATTCATATACATACACACATACATATATATTTCTGGTCAACACTAAAAATATTTTCTAAAACTGGAAAAAATAGTGAAAGGGAATTCCATACAAGTTCATTTTTCACTTTTTATGTCCACAACTATAAACAAAACAGGGTGGTCAGGATGGAGTCATTCAAATTCTATATCCAGAGACTACAACTTCTCACCCAGCCTAATCCCAACGGGCTAGCTCCACTGACTAACGCGGCTCCTGAAAACAGCAGTTCCTGACTGGGAGGGAGGGCCCCGAGCGGCTGCTGGACTGCATCAAGAATCTCTGAAAAAACAAGTTAATGTTTAAATAGACCCCGTATCTCTACCCCGTGTGCTGTTATATATGTAGGGTGCAGCCATAAATTCTAGAAACACTAAGTAGGAAGCGGAAGGTCTAGGCTCTAAGTTTAGCAAGTTCTGAAGAGACAACAGACACACCATTGGTGAGGGCTGACATTCTTACAAGGGGAAAGGGAATTAAGTCATTGATCTTCCAGCAAAAACATCAAAA